ATTTAAGAAAGTAAAAGGCAGGCAGGGAGGGGGAAGAGTGTGATGGAAAGCAGAAGCAAGGGGAAGGAGGCACACGGTCTTTCTTTCCTTCTTTTCCCTGCCCTCCCCCACCTTCCCCCGCCCACTTCGGCCACCCTCTGCCTACTGCAGCCTCCCCCCCCCCCTGCACCCTTTGTCACTGCCTTCCTCTATTCACCTGCGATCAATTGGACCAGTGGATTGTTTCCTTCTCCAGGGGTGAAAATCTTGCTCCCTTTCCCAGTGGAGCCAGCGGCCATGTTAAGCTTGGGGCAACTTGAGAGGGGAGGCCTGGAGAGCCCTGGCTGGAGGAGCCCGCAGCTCTGCCCTGACTCTCCTCCTTCTCCTCCCATCCATCCACTGATGGTTTTGCAGAGCTGCCAGACTGGCTGCAGGCCGAGCCCTGCTGTGGGCCCAGCAACCATTCCCAGGAGGGGGCAGGGCCATAGAAGGCAACATGCTGACCCCTCGAAAATGGCCCAGTGACCCCTCTGGGGGTCGCCACCCCCAGGTTGAGAACCACTGGTTTACAGAGATTCCAGACAAAATTATTTTTTCCTTTTGCCTAAACGTTTCCAAGGAGTACGCTGCAGTTAAAGAACTGTCATAACAGATCTGAGTAGTGAACAGTGAAAAAAATGTTTTTAATGTTAGGTAAGTTTTGACTTATTCCCTCTGTAGTGTAGGTTATCGTGTTTACCATTATTTTCAATATTATGTTTTAAAGAATGGATGCGAAATGGTACAGTAAAGCCTCTTTTATCCAACCTTTGCTCATCCAACGTTCTGTAGTATCTAACACAGTTTGCCTCCTACCCGGATCCACAGCTGTTTCAATACCTGCGATGTATCATTTAATGTATTTATTTATTTTATTATTTAAACTTCTATGTTGTCACTCCCCTGGGGCTCGGAGCGGCTTACAAGAATAGCTAAAATCTAACAAAATTTAAAAGCAATTTAAAACAATTTAAAAACAACAATATCAAACATTAAAAGCCTGTCGAAACAGGTATGTCTTACATGCCCTGCGGAAAGCTGGTAAGTCCCACAAGGCACGGACCTCAGGTGGCAGAGTATTCCAGAGTGATGGTGCCACTGCTGTGAAGGCTCTGCGTCTGGTTGCTGTTAGACGCAAGGTCTTGACACTGGGGACTTCCAATAGATCTTGGTCCTCAGAACGGAGGGATCTCTGGGGTTGGTAGGGGGTGAGGCGGTCCCTCAGATACATCGGCCCCAGACCATGCAAGGCCTTAAAGGTGAGTACCATCACTTTGAAAGTGATCCGGTGCTCAATTGGTAACCAATGCAGCTGTAGTAAGATTGGTGTTATGTGGCATCTCATCGGAATTCCCGCAAGAAGCCGAGCAGCTGCATTTTGTACCAACTTGAGCTTCCGGATCACCGACAGAGGAAGGCCAATGTAGAGGGCATTACAGTAGTCCAGTCTTGAGATGACCGTGGCCTGGATCACCGTAGCTAGGTCGTCCCTGGACAGGTAGTGGGCCTGCCGTCTGGCCTGCCGCAGATGAAAGAAGGCGGTTCTGCTAACGGAGGAGACCTGGGCCTCCATCGTCAGCAGAGGGTCCAAAAGGACTCCCAGACTCTTTACCAATGATGACGGGCGTAGCGCCTCGCCATCCAGGGTAGGCAGCTGGATGTCTCCACTGCCTGGTCGACCCAGCCATAGGATCTCCGTCTTTGCTGGATTCACCCTCAACCTGCTGGCACGCAACCATCCAGTAACGGCCTCGAGGCACTGATGGAAACAATCGGGTACAGAGTCCGGTCGGCCTTCCATCTTCAGCATCAGCTGAGTGTCATCAGCGTACTGATAACACTCAAGCCCAAAACCTCGAACCAGCTGAGCAAGGGGTCGCATATAGATGTTAAATAACAGAGGGGAGAGAATGGCCCCTTGAGGGACCCCACAAGATAGAGGGGACCTCTCAGAGACCAGGCCTCCCCTCTCCACTCGCTGTCCACAGTTGTGAAGAAAGGAGGACAGCTAGTTTAAAGCTGTCCCCCTGACTCCAGCAATGACAAGGCGGTGGGTCAAAAAATTGTGGTCGACTGTGTCAAATGCTGCTGTGAGATCCAATAACACAAGCAGCGCTGACCCGCCCTGGTCAAGCTGACATCGAAGGTGATCTGTGATGGAGACCAGCACAGTCTCTGTCCCGTGCCCCGCACGGAAGCCGGACTGGAAGGGTGCTAAATTGGTAAATACAGCAATTACTATGTAACATTACCGTGTATTGAACTGTTTTTTTTTTGTTTGTTTTAAAACATAATTTGTAAAATCATCACATAATTTGACGTTTAATAGGCTTTTCCTTAATCCATCCTTATTATCCAACAGTTTTGCTCATTCAACATTCTGCTGGCCCGTTTATGTTGCATAAGCAAAACTCTACTGTATTTCCTTCTTAAAAAACAAACATTTCCCCTTGCTATTTTTCCTAGTTTAAATTGCACCCTCTCTCTAATAAGCTGTACATTTTTCCTGTGAGGCTCATACACCCTGTGGGGTTCATATACATACACTCCTGTTGCCATCAATCAGTCAGTCTCTTTGATTGCTTTTTAATACAGTTTTTAAAAGTCCTATATAATATATGGCTATGGGACAGCATTATAACCTAGCAATTCTTCCTTGGACCACTGATTATTCCTGACTTTAAAAAAAAAAAAACCTTTTGCCACTGAATGATCTCTATAGCCAGTTTATTTATTTTTCACATTTATACAATGATCAGAATGTAAGAATACTGATGAATTTTGAAACTAGAATTTTCCTAAATGCACCATGTAGGTGATGTATCTGAGTGAAGTGGGTCAACATAAACCAAAAAAGTTGGAAGGATGTTATAGGACATTTGGTATATATTAAATTCTAATGGGTCACCATTTCCTTAGGCATTTTCTTGCTTTGTACGTATCTTTAAAATTAACTTTTGCACCAACGAGGGTATGTAGTTGGCATTGGAAAACATAATTGCATCTAGCCTTGCCTCCTAGGTTGTGGTACCTCTCAGTGATGCTTGTGACCCTCACTTACGATGTAGTTGTCAAAAAGTGCTCCTTCTCTTTTAGTCTGCTTTAACATAGTCTGAAAGCAAATGCTTCCAACTTATTTGTCTTGACTTTACAACATGTAAACATTTACATAGTTTGTATGTGTTTGGATCTGGAAGTGCTTGCTATGATATACATTTCAGAATGTCTGGTGATAATGCAAACCAGATAGAATAATAGAAACCCAGTATCATTGAGTTTAAGAGACCACAAAGATCATCCGGTCCTACCCCTGTTGTCCAGGAAAATACAATCAAAGCAATCCAACATCTGCTTAAAAATTTCCAGAGAAGGAGATTCCACTACATTCCGAGGCAGGCTATTCCACTGCCAAACAGCTACCACTACCAGAAAGTTTTTCCTAATATTTAGGTGGGATCTCTTTCCCTTCAATTTGAATACAATTCTCCATGTGCTTTGAATGCAATTTTCCTGCTTCTTGGCAGGGGGTTGGATTGGATGGCCCACGAGGTCTCTTTCAACTCTGTGATTCTATGTTATAATCATTAGAGCAGCAGCCCCCTCCTCAGTTTCCCTTCCATTCCACATGAATCAGAGAACCACTTGAAAACCACTGAGAATAGCGTCTTTTGTATATTGACTTCCTAAGTAATGCCTCCCAATCAAGACTAATTTGCATTAGTACTAATCTGATTTTGGTTTTTTTCTTCAAGTACATATCCCCATTCTGACGGATTATGTCCTTATGGTTCAAAGGAAATTGAAACCTTTATGTCATTCTTTCTCTTGTGTACTTTTTATCATGATCTCCATGGAAGGCTTCTTAAACCATCAGTCATTTTATGTTTTGGAAGAATGCCCAAATATCATGTCTTTCCTTTTTTCTAACACAATAATTTATTATAGAAATTACAGGTATTTTTTGCTTAGAGTATTGGGGTCACAAGTTATAATTGCATAGTTTTAATATACTTACATCTTCTATATATATAAAAATGCTCTGTGCATAATGAGTACCTTAAAAACGAAAGAACCAATGAGCAAAATCACACCAAATTTGGCAACAAAATGTCTCACAACACAAGGAGTGACTATCACTCAAAAATTATGATTTTGTCATTTGGGAGTTGTAGTTGCTGGGATTTATAGTTCACCTACAATCAAAGAGCATTCTGAACTCCATCAACGATGGAATTGAACCAAACTTGGCACACAGAACTCCCATGACCAACAGAAAATACTGGAAGGGTTTGGTGGGCATTGACCTTGAGTTTGGGAGTTGTAGTTACTGGGATTTGTAGTTCACCTACAATCAAAGAGCCTTCTGAACCTCACGAACACAGAATTAAGGCAAACTTCCCACACAGAACCCCTATGAGCAAAAGAAAATACTTAAGGCCATCCAGTCCAACTCCCTTCACCAGGGTAAGAAAACATAATCAAAGCCCTCCTGACAAAGAGCCAACCAGCCATAGATAAAGATAGATATATATGATTCACACACACATAGATATAGTATCATAGATTTGAAAGGGACCCCTAAAGAAGGAGAATTCTATATTGCATGTTCCAGTGTAGGCAAACCATACAATCTCCACATCAACACTGACAAAGAAACAGCAAGAAATACTGTTTATCCACAAGCAGAAAGACATTACATACATCAGAAACCAACACTTTCTCATTACTTTATTTTCCAGATCACCAGACTGGACCATAGCAACGCATGGCAGGGGATGGCTAGTTTATTATATGCTTACAGTTGTTTGCTACAGTGTGTTTGGGCCATATTGAATTGTATGGGTTTTACTGTGAATTCTGTTGACTGCAGCTATAGAGTTCATTTGGGTTTTTTTTAAAAAAAAAGAGTACATAAACCTCATATGTATACTTGTCATGAAATAATGATTTCAGTTAAATCTTTTGAATCTGTTTCTCCTTAGGTATTGGTGGAATGAGCGTTGCGTGTGTTTTGAAGAGAAAAGCAGTGCTCTGGCAGGACTCCTTCAGCCCTCACCTGAAACACCATAGTCAAGAAGCAACTAATCCCAACATGCCTGTTGTTTTGACATCTGGAACAGGGTCCCAGGCTCAGCAACAGCCAGCTGCAAATCAAGTCCTTGCAGCAGGGACCCACTCTAGCCCTGTTCCTGGATCCATAGGGGTTGCAGGCCGCTCCCAGGATGACGCAATGGTGGATTACTTCTTTCAGAGGCAGCATGGTGAGCAGCTTGGGGGAGGCGGAAGTGGTGGAGGCAGCTATAATAACAGCAAGCATCGGTGGCCTACCGGGGATAACATTCACGCTGAACATCAGGTAAAAAGTTAAATATTTCAGATGTACAAATGAGCCTAGCAAGCCTATGAATATTTGTATTATCTCTGAGTTTTTATGTGTCACTTCTTGGGCTTCTAACACATATGCCCTAGCATAAGATATAGCATTGAGAGAACCCCATAACAAAATGTATGTATATTCACATGTTGTCTTAGGTATTCTTGTTTGTTTATCGCTGTGCAAAAATTCCGTACTTTTTTCAGCAAGCTGCTGTCATTGGTGCATTTGTTGAGTTGACCATTTCCAGTTCTCAGGACACTGTAGCCAAATTTTTATGATGTGGCAGGATGTTTTCACACCGTGAGTGTGGAAAACACTCCTAAAAATTGTCAGTACTTCGTCTCCCCTCTACATTTTTAGACTTTGTTTTGTTGTTGTTTGTCTTTATTAGTTGCTGAGTAAGTTTTTCTCCACATCATTCAGGCTGCTTGAAGATCTACTCACTGAGTCAAGAAAAGGTTAGTGGGTGGGTGCTCTCTTAAGAGTTTCTGTACATTTAGTCCATTTAGTGGAGGCACAGTGGTGCAATGGGTTAAACCCTTGTGCCAGCTCAACTGCTGACCTGAAGGTTGGCGGTTTGAATCCACTAGATGGGATGAGTTCCCGTCTGTCAGCGCCAACTTCCCATGCAGGGACATGAAAGAAGCCTCCCACAAGATGGTAACACATCCGGGCGTCCCCTGGGCAACGTCCTTGCAGATGGCCAATTCACACCAGAAGCGACTTGCAGTATTTCTCAAGTTGCTTCTGACACTTTTTTTTTAAAAGTCCTTACTGGAGCCAACAATAGAGAATGAGTGGTTAAAAATCCATTGGTTTAAATGACAAATGATTTCACCCTTCTAGCCCGTATTATTATCGGCTCTTGCATTTTTCCTCCAGTTCTTGTCCAGAAACTATTGCTCAAGCTCCTAGCCCTCCGAGCTCAGTATTTATTACTGTTCAGGTTATTGATTATTTCATTATATTTGTTATGTTTTATGATATGTCTGGTCCATGAAGTCACGAAGAGTTGGAAATGACTGAACGAATGAACAACAATGATGTGTTTATTTTATTTTTAATCATTATTTTATTGCGTCTTAATCTATGTTTGCCTAGGCTTGTCCCCATATAAGCCGGCCCAAGTCCTTTCGAGGAAATGGAGACGGAGTATAAAAATAAAGTTAAAGTTGGGTTGTTGTAGGTTTTTTCGGGCTATATGGCCATGTTCTGAGGCATTCTCTCCTGACGAAGAAGAAACAAATGCGGTCATCGCTAATAGTCAAAATGGATTTATCAAAAACAAGTCATGCCAGACTAATCTGATCTTTTTTTCGATAGAGTTACAAGTTGGATAGATGTGGGGAATGCAGTGGATGTAGCGTACCTGGATTTCAGTAAGGCCTTCGACAAGGTCCCCCATGACCTTCTGGCAAACAAACTAGTCCAATGTGGGCTAGGCAAAACTACGGTGAGGTGGATCTGTAATTGGTTAAATGGGCAAACCCAGAGGGTGCTCACTAATGCTTCCTCTTCGCCCTGGAAAGAAGTGACGAGCGGAGTGCCGCAGGGTTCTGTCCTGGGCCCACTCCTGTTCAATATCTTTATTAATGACTTAGATGAAGGGTTAGAAGGCATGATCGTCAAGTTTGCAGACAACACCAAATTGGGAGGGATAGCCAATACTCCAGAGGACAGGAGCAGGATTCAAAACGATCTTGACAGATTAGAGAGATGGGCCAAAACTAACAAAATGAAGTTCAACAGTGACAAATGCAAGATACTCCACTTTGGCAGGAAAAACGGAATGCAAACATACAGAATGGGGGACACCTGGCTCAAAAGCAGTACGTGTGAAAAAGATCTTGGAGTCCTCGTGGACAACAAGTTAAAAATGAGTCAACAATGTGATGTAGCGGCAAAAAAAGCCAATGGGATTTTGGCCTGCATCAGTAGGAGCATAGTGTCTAGATCTAGGGAAGTAATGCTACCCCTCTATTCAGCCTTGGTTAGACCACACCTGGAATATTGTGTCCAATTCTGGGCACCACAATTGAAGAGAGATATTGACAAGCTGAAATGTGTCCAGAGGAGGGTGACTAAAATGATCAAGTGTCTAGAGAACAAGCCCTATGAGGAGCAGCTTAAAGAGCTGGGCATGTTTAGCCTGAAGAAGAGAAGGCTGAGAGGAGACATGATAGCCATGTATAAATATGTGAGAGGAAGTCACAGGGATGAGGGAGCAAGTTTGTTTTCTGTGGGGTATCTTTTCCCTTAAGTGATGGAGGCACCTGTTTTCCATGTTTTTCCAATTCCCCTGTTGATCAAGATAGTGTCAAAGATGCAGAGACAAAACACAAATTGTGTATGTTAATAACAAAATGGCCGTGTCAGCTGTGGCATCAAGGTAATAATGGTAATGATAATAATAATAAATTTTATTTGTACCCCGCCACCATCTTCCCGAATTTACTCAGGGCAGCTCACAAAACACTCCAAAGTTCTGCATTTAAAGTAAACAGTACTTAGACATAAAAACAATAACATAATACTACGATTGCAAACACACATAAAATAGCATGTAGTAAAATATTAAAATTCATAAAACACAGTTGTGACTGGATTTTTTTTTCCCATGTCAGGAGCAACTTGAGAAATCGCAAGTAGCTTCTGGTATGAGAGAATTAGCTGTCTGCAAGGACGTTGCGCAGGAACGGCCAGATGTTTTCATGTTTTACCATCCATGTGGGAGGCTTCTCTCATGCCCCTGCATGGGGAGCTGGAGCTGACAGAGGGAGCTCATCCGCTCTCTCCGACCTGTCGGTCTTCAGTCCTGCCAGCACAAGGGTTTAACCCATTGCGTCACCAGGGGCTCCTGTGGATAAAACTGGTTGTTTTCAATTAATGAGCCAAGTGCCAAACTGAAGCAAACACTAAGTCCTCAGAATAACCCTTAGACTCTACTCAAGATCATAGGCTTGTTTAAAAAGCCATGATTTTAGACAGGATCGGAAAACTTGGAGAGAGGGGGCTAACCTAATCTCTCTAGGGAGGGCATTCCAGAGCCAAGGGGCTACTACCGAGAAGGCCCTCTCTCTCCTCTCCACCAACCATACTTGGGATGGGGGTGGGACCGAGAGAAGGGTCTGCCCGACAGATCTCAGAGCCCACATCGGTTCATAGAAGGAGATGCTGTTCATAGAATCATAGAATCAAAGAGTTGGAAGAGACCTCATGGGCCATCCAGTCCAACCCCCTGCCAAGAAGCAGGAATATTGCATTCAAATCACCCCTGACAGATGGCCATCCAGCCTCTGCTTAAAAGCTTCCAAAGAAGGAGCCTCCACCACACGCCGGGGCAGAGAGTTCCACTGCTGAACGGCTCTCACAGTCAGGAAGTTCTTCCTAATGTTCAGATGGAATCTCCTCTCTTGTAGTTTGAAGCCATTGTTCCGCGTCCTAGTCTCCAGGGAAGCAGAAAACAAGCTTGCTCCCTCCTCCCTGTGGCTTCCTCTCACATATTTATACAAGGCTATCATATCTCCTCTCAGCCTTCTCTTCTTCAGGCTAAACATGCCCAGTTCCCTAAGCCGCTCCTCATAGGGCTTGTTCTCCAGACCCTTGATCATTTTAGTCGCCTCCTCTGGACACATTCCAGCTTGTCAATATCTCTCTTGAATTGTGGTGCCCAGAATTGGACACAATATTCCAGATGTGGTCTAACCAAAGCAGAATAGAGGGGTAGCATTACTTCCCTTAGATCTAGACACTATGCTCCTATTGATGCAGGCCAAAATCCCATTGGCTTTTTTTGCCGCCACATCACATTGTTGGCTCATGTTTAACTTGTTGTCCACGAGGACTCCAAGATCTTTTTCACACGGACTGCTCTCGAGCCAGGCGTCCCCCATTCTGTATCTTTGCATTTCATTTTTTCTGCCAAAGTGGAGTATCTTGCATTTGTCACTGTTGAACTTCATTTTGTTAGTTTGGCCCATCTCTCTAATCTGTCAAGATCGTTTTGAATTCTGCTCCTGTCCTCTGGAGTATTGGCTATCCCTCCCAATTTGGTGTCATCTGCAAACTTGATGATCCTGCCTTCTAACCTTCATCTAAGTCATTAATAAAGATGTTGAACAGGACCAGGACCAGGACAGAACCCTGCGGCACTCCGCTCGTCACTTCTTTCCAAGATGAAGAGGAAGCATTGGTGAGCACCCTCTGGGTTCGTCCACTTAACCAATTACAGATCCACCTCACCGTAGTTTTGCCTAGCCCACATTGGACTAGTTTCCTTGCCAGAAGGTCATGGGGGACCTTGTCGAAGGCCTTACTGAAATCCAGATACGCTACATCCACGGCATTCCCCGCATCTACCCAGCTTGTAACTCTATCAAAAAAGAGATCAGATTAGTCTGGCATGACTTGTTTTTGATAAATCCATGTTGACTATTAGCGATGACTGCATTTGTTTCTAAGTGTTTGCAGACCGCTTCCTTAACAATCTTTTCCAGAATCTTGCCCGGTATCGACGTGAGGCTGACCAGACGGTAGTTGTTTGGGTCATCCTTTTTTCCCTTCTTGAAGATTGGGACCACATTGGCCCTCCTCCAATCTGCTGGAACTTCTCCCGTTCTCCAAGAACTCTCAAAGATGGTTGCCAATGGTTCCGAAATGACTTCCGCTAGTTCCTTCAATACTCCGGGGTGTAGTTGATCTGGCCCTGGGGACTTGAACTCATTAAGAGCGGCCAGGTATTCCTGGACGACTTCTTTCCCAATTTGTGGTTGGATGTCCTCCAATCCCTCATCCACTCCATCTTGCTGAGGTTGAAGACTCTCTTTTTGTGAGAAGACCGAGGCAAAGAAGGCATTAAGTAGTTCTGCCTTTTCCCTATCCCCTGTCAGCATTGCCCCATCTTCTCCTCGAAGAGGCCCTATCGCCTCCTTGTTTTTCCTTTTTCTACTGACATAAGAAAAGAATCCCTTTTTATTGTTTTTAATGTCCCTGGCAAGCCTGAGCTCGTTTTGTGCTTTAGCCTTGCGGACCTTTTCCCTACAGGTGTTGGCTATTTGTTTGAATTCTTCTTTGGTGATTTCTCCCTTTTTCCACTTCTTGTGCATGTCTCTTTTGTGTCTTAGCACAGTTAGAAGTTCTTTGGACATCCATTCTGGCTTCTTTGCACTTGTCCTATTTTTTCTCTTTGTTGGCACGGTTGCAATTGCGCCTTGAGTATTTCACTCTTGAGAAATTCCCATCCATCCGTAACTCCCTTGTCTTTTAGTATCTGTGTCCACGGAATGCTGCTCAGCGTTTCCTTCATTTTTTGGAAATCAGCTCTCCTAAAGTCCAAAATGCGGGTTTGACTTGTCTTACTTTCGGCCTTCCTTTGTACCTCAAATTGCAGGAGCACATGGTCACTTGCCCCTAAGGATCCTACCACTTCGACCGCATCGATCAGGTCCTCCGCATTTGTTAGGATGTTGCAAAGATAGGTTGGACCCGAAGCGTATAAAGCTTTATAGGTAATAACCTGCACTTTGAATTGGGCCCAGAAATTTGTCAAAAGCCAGTGGAGCTGCTTTAAAAGGGGTGTGATATGCTCCCTATAGCTAGCCTCAGTTAGCAATCTGACAGACGATCTTTGCACTAATGGCAGCTTCTGAGCCTTCTTCAAAGCCAGCTCCGCGGAGAGTGTATTGTCGTAATCCATTCTGGATGTAACTAAGGCATGGAGCACTGTGGCCAAGTTAGGCTTTTCAAGGTATGGTTGCAGCTGGTGCACCTATTTTAACTGCAAAGGCCCTCCCGTCCACCCCCCACACCTGTACTTCAAGTGTCAGAGGACTGCAGACCTGTGTTCACAGGGGGCGTGTAAGCCCGTTGAACACAGGTTGCCACCCTATACCCCAATCGGCCTCATGACTGACCAGGAGGACCTCTGCCTTGTCAGGATTAAACCTCAGTTTGTTGGCCCTTATCCAGTCCATCACAGTGGCCAGGGACTAGTCCAGGACTCTGGGAGCTTCCTTGGAATAAGGTTGGAAAGAGTAGTAAAGTTGTGTGACATCTACATAGAGATGGTGCCCAACTCCAAAGGTCTTCTTCAACTGGTTCAGGTTCTTCATTACCACCTGCTTCTTCAGAATGATCTTCTCAATCAATTATTATTATTTTCAAGCGGATTTGGAGTGGCCGGCCCGCTCTCCAGATTTGGCCCCTTGTGATTTTTTTCTATGGAGTTTTTTGAAATCCCGTGTTTATGTGAACCGTCCAAGGACCCTACAAGACTTGAAGACCAACATCCAGGAAGAAATTGCCAACATAACGCCTGCTAATGCTGGCAAGAGTCATGACAAACGCCAGAAATCGGTTTACTCAGTGTATGGAGAATGGGGGACCTCACCTACCTAATTTGATCTTCAAAACTACGTAAAACAAAATATATTTAACAATTTAGCAAGGAGAAAATTATAGATTGATTTTATTATATCTTCATTGACACTGTGAACTACTTGCTTCTGAAAGATAATTCACAAATCCAACTAGCTTTCAAAAAGATAATGAACAACTGAATATTAGAGATATATATTCTCTAAGAACAACTCTATTGCTTTGGTATGTCTAAGGTTTACTTTTTAAGAAGAAGGTTTTTAAGATCAAGTCAGGGGGTGCTGTGATTTTAGCTTTGAATATGTTTAAATATCATTGATATTTAATTTTGTTTTAATGTTTGTATATTTGTGGATTTTAAATTGTATTGAAATTCTTTTAATGTAAGCAGCTTTGAGTCTCCTTTGTGGGAGGCAGAAGTAGGGGTATAAATAACAACAATGACATTGTGCTTCTGAAAATTCAGATATGTATCTATACAAACATCTGATTTACAAACGATTCATAGTTAACAGTGGTGAGACAGCAGAAAATGAGAAAAATCTACAGCTAGGAAGAGAAATTCACTCCTGGAAGAGTTACTATCATGATGAAAAGGTGTCTTCACTGAAGCTTTTATCACCAATCTTTGTTTCCACAACAAACCAAATTATTCTATTACAGGGGCAAAAAGTGAGGTGAAATCTACTGAATAGGGACACAGGCAGCAAAACAAATGCCACAGGGGTGTTAACTGTTTCCTATCCAAAGCTACTATCTATATATGTATGGCTGGAGTTACACTTTTAAAATGTGCCTGTTTTGACTTGCATACAAATTCAGCTTAAGAACAAACCTACAGAATCTATCTTGTTCGTAACTTGGGAACTGCCTATATGTGTCCTTATTTTAAAAAATCTGTTTCTACAGCCTTGATGTGTCTTTTTAATATTTTTGTTCATGTCAGGTGCACCTATTTTTATGTTATTTTTGAATAGTTCATTCTATTTTATTGTTTAGTTTGTCCATCTAATAACAAACTTCAATCTTTCAATGCTTCATAGGTCCGATCTATGGATGAATTAAATCACGATTTTCAAGCACTTGCTCTGGAAGGAAGGGCTATGGGAGAAGTAAGTGAATAATTTCCCATTATGTCTATATCTTGATCTTCCTCATGGAAGTCACAGTCGTTTCCAGTCTTGATATCTGTGCCAGACCTACCTCATTCCAGATGGAAACCTATACAACAATGGCCTCAAATTTAGATGTGAATGTTCTTTTCTTTCTCAAAGTTGCGGATGTTGCCCAAGTGAATTTTTTCAATCTTAATTGTGGAAGATGTCTGTTCATTATATAGCCTGTGACTGCTATATAGCAAGGATTGTAAATCAGCACAGATTCATACAAGACAATGGAGCTTGTACATAGGGGATGTCAATTAAAAAAGAATAATGTAGCCTTCTGGAAGTGTTGTTATCCCTACATATTGACTACAGCAGATTGATATTAGAGTCTGAAATGTCTTGAAAGAGACAACATTGGAGAGGTAGTCCAAGTCTGTGTTGATACTTTCAGGTCTGTGTTGATATGGCGGGGAGTGGCTATGCTCGCCTGAGAAAGGTTTTCTCTTAGGGCAGTTCCTGTGCTGAGCATCTCTGGCATCGAAAGTGTTGGCCTGGTGTGGGATTCCTGTGAGAGCATAGCCTTTCTGCTGGTGTACCGTGCGCCTAGCAGACAGCCTATCCCAACTGCTTGAGACTGTGTCGGAGTGGTCCTTGAGCTTCCCCAGACTTATCGTCTTGGGGGATTTCAATGTCCACGCTGATGCAGACTCTTGTTCATTAGTGGCTGTGGACCTAGTGTCTACCATGGAGACACTAGGACTCTCGCATCGGGCGGGACACACGCTAGATTTGATTTTCGGCGCAGGAATTCAAGTGACCCAAGCCTCCACAATAGAGGTTCCATGGTCGGATCACTGCGCCCTGAGAGTCCGGTTGGAGCATGCCTACCCACGCTGCAAGGGCGCCAAGCCAATTTGGGCTCGCCCAAGGAGACTTATGGAACCCAGTAGGTTCCGTAATATTCTGAGGGATCTGGAGCCTGCCAGCGACTCGATCGATGTGCAGGTGGACACATGAAACATCAGGTTATCTAATGCACTCGATGAGATCGCTCCTAGACGCCCTCTCAGACCCCGCCGAAATCGGTCTCCTTGGTTCACCGAGGAACTTCGACTGATGAAGCGGGAAAAGAGACGGCTGGAGGGCGTGTGGCCAGAACTCCGTGACGGAGCATCGAGATCAGCTTATGAGGCATTTAGGGAGTCCTATGAGCATGCTATCGCCAAGGCGAAGTGAGCTTCTTTGATAGCGTCTGCTAGCTCACGCCCGGCAAAATTGTTCAAAATAATTCGATCTCTAACAATGGTTCCTACCGTCCCAAAAAGTGGTGATCAGGCCCCTTCAGCCGAGGTTTTTCAGAGCTACTTTGCAGACAAGATCTCGCTACTTCGCCGGGACCTCCCCGCCACAATTGATACAGTGAGAGAACTTGAGACCCCGTGGCCACTTGCTGGGCCCATCCTCGACCGGTTCATCCCGCTGGACGCAGGGGCTGTTGATAGGCTCATAGCTGCAGCTAGACCGACCACGTGCTCCCTCGATCCATGTCCCTCTTGGTTGGTGAAATCCTGCTTGGAGGGATTACGTGACCCTCTGTTAAAGATTATAAACAGCTCCCTTGAGCAAAGAGTTTTTCCAGAGGGTTTAAAAGAGGTGGTGGTCTCTCCCCTGCTGAAGAAAGCAGATTTAGATTGTTCGGTTCCCTCCAGTTACCACCCAGTTTCGAATCTCTCGTTCCTGGGCAAGGTGATTGAGAGGGCAGCAGCGGAGCAGTTGCAGCAATTCCTAGACGACACAGCCGGACTAGATCCCTTCCAGTCCGGCTTCCATGTGGGGCACGGGACAGAGACTGTGCTGGTCTCCATCACGGATCACCTTCGATGCCAGCTTGACCAGGGCGGGTCGGCGCTGCTTGTGTTATTGGATCTCACAGCAGCATTTGACACAGTCGACCACAATCTTTTGACCCACCGCCTTGCTGTTGCTGGAGTCAGGGGGACAGCTTTAAACTGGCTGTCCTCCTTTCTTCACAACCGTGGACAGCGGGTGGAGAGGGGAGGCCTGGTCTCTGAGAGGTCCCCTCTATCTTGTGGGGTTCCTCAGGGGGCCATTCTCTCCCCTCTGTTGTTTAACATCTATATGCGACCACTTGCTCAGCTGGTTCGAGGTTTTGGGCTTGAGTGTTACCAGTACGCTGATGACATTCAGCTTGTGCTGAAGATGGAAGGCCAACCGGACTCTGTACCCGATTATTTCCATCAATGCCTCGAGGCCGTTACTGGATGGCTGCGTGCCAGCAGGTTGAGGGTGAATCCAGCAAAGACGGAGATCCTATGGCTGGGTCGACCGGGCAGTGGGGACATCCAGCTGCCTACCCTGGATGGCGAGGCGCTACGCCCATCATCATTGGTAAAGAGTCTGGGAGTCCTTTTGGACCCTCTGCTGACGATGGAGGCCTAGGTCTCCTCCGTTAGCAGAACCGCCTTCTTTCATCTGCGGCAGGCCAGACGGCTGGCCCCCTACCTGTCCAGGGACGACCTAGCTACGGTGATCCAGGCCACGGTCATCTCAAGACTGGACGACTGTAACGCCCTCTACATTGGCCTTCCTCTGTCGGTGATCCGGAAGCTCAAGTTGGTACAAAATGCAGCTGCTCGGCTTCTTGCGGGAATTCCGATGAGATGCCACATAACCCCAATCTTACTACAGCTGCATTGGTTACCAATTGAGCACCGGGTCACTTTCAAAGTGATGGTATTCACCTTTAAGCCCTTGCATGGTCTGGGGCCGATGTACCTGAGGGACCGCCTCACCCCCTACCAACCCCAGGGATCCCTCTGTTCTGAGGACCAAGATCTATTGGAAGTCCCCAGTGTCAAGACCTTGCGTCTAACAGCAACCAGACGCAGAGCCTTCACAGCAGTGGCACCATCACTCTGGAATACTCTGCCACCTGAAGTCCGTGCCTTGCGGGACTTACCAGCTTTCCGCAGGGCATGTGAGACATACCTGTTTCGACAGGCTTTTAATGTTTGATATTGTTGTTTTTAAATTGTTTTAAATGGCTTTTAAATTTTGTTAGATTTTAGCTATTCTTGTAAGCCGCTCCAAGCCCCAGGGGAGTGTCGGCATAGAAGTTTAAATAATAAATAAATAAATAATATATTTCAACAAAAGTATGAGCAACGAATATAGGAAGATCTGACTGTTTTATCTACTTGGCCCAACGTTTGGTACTTTGGCAGGCAGCGATTCCACAAGCTCTCAGACAGATTAACTTTTTTTTCCTGAAGACTGCTGCTTTGAGTCTCTGTTAAGAGAGAAAACATGGTATATAAATATAGCAATCATATGTTCCCTACTGGGATGATTTTGCTGTCCTTCATTCATGGAAATTTTGCTGGCATAGGAAAAAGCAATAATAATGTATTTTCTTCTTTCAACAATAGATCTTGCATATTTTTCCACATTTTATTTATTTATTTATTTACGGCATTTATATGCCGCCCTTCTCACCCCGAAGGGGACTCAGAGCGGCTTACAATATATATTTTCATACAATATATTATATTATTAGCATAGTACAATATCAGTATATATTACTATATTGCACTATACCATTATATTTAAAAATATTATTAGTAATATTACATGTAATTAAATATATAATTATAATATTGAATTATTATTACTAGTATTATATTGTATTACATTATAATATTATAAATATTATATGTATATACAATATACTATATTATATTATTAATAAAGACAAGATGGAAATGCTCCCCTCTGTCTTCACTCTGGCCAGAGCAGCCGTTGGTGCCAGAAGGGGGAGGGGCCTCTCAAGTGATGATATGGGCAGAAGACAAGATGGATTTCTGATCCTTTTATTCTAGTTCAGTATATTAGAGATCGAGAAAGACAGTTGAAAACATACCATAGTGTTGTCTTTTGAGCTTATCTTTTTTAAAAAAAACAAACGTGTTGTAATACCCTTTAAAACTTATTTTATAGCAGCTGTTACCAGGGAAGAAATTTTGGGAGTCGGATGATTCAACCAAAGATGGACCAAAAGGAATATTTTTGGGTGATCAGTGGAGAGACAGTGCGTGGGGCACATCAGGTACTCCTGCTTATCATTACTGAAAAGTATTTGAAACAAGCTGCTTTCTCTTATTTAGAACTTTCTCCTTCTTCCAGCTCTTGTAGCAAAAGCATTTTGGGAAAAGTCGTAAATGGGATGTCAAAATAATTGTAAAGTTAAATTTGTAGAGTTCTCATATTTTAAAATACTATAGTTACATGTAGAATAAGAACTCCCACTGACTTTGCTGTGTGGGTATGGAAGAGAATTGAGGCTAAAGCTTGCTCTGACCACATGAACTGTATCTCTCATCTGTTTCAATAGGACTGCTGGTCCTTAAGTGCAGTTCAAAACAACCGACTGATTTTCACTGTTCTTGGCACCATTTGCCTGGTGAAAGATTAAGAAGTGGGTCACTATAGATGGATGTGTGTAGCTATCCTATTAACAACTGCTTGCAAGATTACTTTGGTGTCTTGAATTCATCAGCTATCAGAATATTTGTTTAAATACTGTGGTTTCTTGTTGTCTATGGCTAAGACCATTCTGGTTTGTAGAGATTGCGAAATTGACTTTCCTCATGTGGGAAGGAGTTTCATATTTGAAACTGCTGATAACTTTTTTTTTCTAAACAAATATTGCAAAAGACAAGTGACGTTACATGTATGTCTGTTGCAGATCATTCTGTTTCCCAACCAATCATGGTTCAGAGAAGACCCGGCCAAGGTTTCCATGTGAATAGTGAGGTTAACTCAGTGCTGTCACCACGATCAGAAAGTGGTGGACTTGGAGTTAGCATGGTGGAGTATGTGTTGAGCTCATCCCCTGGGGATTCATGTCTCAGAAAAGGAGGATTTGTAAGTATATCAGATTATACATAGCTTCACTGTCTCTTCTAAGCATGATGTGTATTGCTGAAACGGATTGCTGTATTTCAGCACTGGAAGAGTTTAGTCATACAATAATCTAAATTCCAAAAAAGATAATGCAAATGTAGGAAAGGTTATTTAATAGTAGGGGATGGGAATAGTTGCACAGAAATGAATGCCCAGCTATCTTTTCAATACAGGCTTTAAAAAACCTAACGGTACACATTATATTTTACTTTGATTTCGTGTCAAAAGCATTGCATAAATAAACAAGTATAAAACTGATAAAATAAAAGGAGCAGAAGCAGCTAAATAATTTCAGACTAGAAACTGGCAACAGCAACTACATTTTCTGTAGCTTTAAATAGTTCTTCCTCCGTGTATGAGGCAAGTCATGGTGGGCAAGCATACAAGTGCAAAGTTGTTTTTTCTGCTCCACAATAGCACAAGATGGAGGATTCTTCTAGGTCATGCCATTTGGCCAGGTTGTCTTTTGATCTCCCACTGCACTTCTGAGTCTGTTTCAGGACTTCCATGTTGCTCATTCTTGGTTTGCCCCTGGAGGAAAACCCTCAGGAGGGGCCGTCCAGTTGGAATTACCTGATTTTGCTGCCCAGAGGGATACTCTTGCTGTTGCTAGGGGAACATTTAGAGGAGTAGTGGTTCTCATGAAACTTTACCTTGATTTGAATCTTCTGGGAGGAGACTGATAGCCATATAATGGGTGGCTTTCACAGTATTCAATCTTATTTCTCTCGCAGTTGGCAGCAACTTCCCGTTGCATATCAGTGGGGCAATGCCAGGTAGCTTATAAAATCTATCAGCAGGTATAGGTTTGAGACATCCTGTGATGATGATGATGATGATGATAACAAATTGTATTTCTTAACTGCCTCTCCTCATGGCTTGAGGCAGGTTACAGAATAATTAAAACTCATAAGCAAAGCAAAAGCACCAAAATGCACATATAAAAATTGTATCTCTATGAAACTTAAACACCACAACAAATCTCTATAAAATATTATTTTATTATTATTATTTACAGTTTTTATATTCCGCCCTTCTCACCCTGCAGGGGACTCAGGGCGGATTACAGTAAACACATATATGGCAAACATTCAATGCCAGTTTGACAAACAACATTTAACAGACAAATACACCGAGGCTATTTAACTTTTTTCTGGCCGCCAGGGGAGCTGCTGCTTTTCATCGTCCATCAACGACACCGATGAAGTTCTTCCGCATTCCCTGGAGTCTTTTTTCTTTATGGTCTCATAAATTAGTTAAATTTAGCCTCCCACACAAGGTGGTACCTTATTTTCCTACTTGACAGATGCAACTGTCTTTCGGGTTGCAAAGGTCGACAACGGGCTACACAATGGCTGGACACCCACTCCAGCCCGGGCTGGCTTCGAACTCATGACCTTTTGGTCAGAGTGATCTTAATGCAGCTGACACTCAGCCAGCTGCGCCACAATCCCGGTACACAATACATATTAACATACACAAAACTGAGGTTAAACAAAGGACACACCTTTAAAATTCATGTTTAAAGACTGTCTGGGTAGCCTGCTGGAAGAGATAGGTCTTTACATAGTTTTTAAATTCCAACAGCTCATATTGCTGTCGAAGTTCTTCCCTGGTGTGGTACAATTTTCTGGAAATGCAGGAAAAATGGAAGCAGTAGGATGAGGTGCAGAATCCAGTTTCTTGAAATTTTACCTTTTACAAAGTTTCAATTTTATATATAAGCAGTCCCTGTGTTACAAACGTCTGACATACATCCAGCTCCAAGTAACAAATGGGGGTGAGACAACAGGAAGTCAGAGGAAATCTACCCCTAGGAAGGAAAATTCCCCCGTTAGAGTTATCAGGGGGAAAAGTTGTCTCTGAGGCTTTATCACCAATCCTTGTTTTCACAACAAGTCAACATTTTCATAATCCAATTGCTACAGAGACAGAAAGTGAACAGAGGCACAAACAGCAAAACAACTTTGCAGGGATCTTAACCCTTCCCTATGCTACCCAAAACTTCCTTTTAAAAGTTTATGTGGTGTTACACTTAAAAATGTATTTATTCCAACTTAAATACAAATTCAAGAACAAACTTACGGATCCTATCTTGATTGTAACCTGGGAACTGCCTGTACAAGCAGTCACCGAGTTACAAACATCTGACTTAACAAATGACTCCAAGTTAAGAATGGGGGTGAGACAACAGAAAGTGAGAGAAATCTACAGCTAGGAAGGGAAATTCACTCCTGGAAGAGGTGCTATCACGGGGAAAGGGGGTCTGCACTGAAGCTTTATCTCCAGTCCTTTTTTCCGCAAAAATTCCAGTTCTCACAGAGACTGAAAGTGGGGTGAAATCTTCTGAACAGGGACACAGGTAGCAAACCAAACACCACAGGGGTATTAACCCTTCCCTATGCTATGTAATATTATATTTGGCTGGAATTACACTGTTCTGATGTACAAACAAATCCAATTTACGAACAGACCTCCAGAACCTATCTTGTTCATAATTTGAGTTTCACCAAGGCATTTATATTGGAGAACACATTTCTTCCCAGAAACTGTTGAGCTCTAGAATGCTCTGATAGTGGTTCTGCACAATCATAAGACCCATTTATATGAATTCACAGGTGGCCATTTTAAAAGCTGCAATTACAGGCAAGTGTCCTGCTCTTATTGAAGCATAATTTTCCATGCACCAACTTCACTTTCCCACAATGAGCTATATCTGCAGAGAGCTGAGCATTCCACCCCTCACTCCTGCTCAGTTCTTTCGGGTTTGGAAAAATCTGAACCATGTCTCAGTCCTGCTTTACTGAAGGCCTTACTGGTACATTATTTAAACTGTTAACATTTATTCATATCATGATCTGATCACCATGCTCAATATATCTCATATGCATGGGGGTACTATAACTCATATGCATGGAGGTATTGGGATAACGATACAAAAGGTTTGCTAAGATAGATCCTCACCCCCCACCCCCAAATCAAAATCCTGGCTACGGGCCTGTCCAGGGGTGTTTATTTTATTAAATCACTACCTTCCCTTACATACCTTATTAAGGTGCAGTCAATCTCTGATGTACCACAAGATTCTACTTCAGTGTATCTAGGGACATTACTCTGGACAGGAAATAATAACTTGTATAGATGCAGTGAGGCACTGTACCCGAAACATTTCATCCTGTTTTCTCTTTGTAGCTCAAAAATTACCCCTAGAAATAACAGAGTAATATCATAGACAACAGTGGATGCTAAAGTGGATTTTTATACATGATGAACTAAAAGTGTTGTTGCCTGTGTCTGTTTGTGTATAATTTGCAATCAAAACAGTGAGAATTACTCCCATTTTCAATAGGGGCCAAGGGATACAGAAAATGATGACAGTGATAAAGGTGACAAGAAAAATAAGGGCACTTTTGATGGTGATAAATTAGGTGATTTGAAAGAAGAAGTAGACGTGATGGACAAGGCCAATGGCTTACCTGTACAGAATGGCATTGATGCTGATGCAAAAGATTTTAGGTATGTATGTCCCAATATACGGGTTTTTTATGTGCTACATTGTCCAATTGAAAGTCAGTGGGAGGCACGGAGCTACCATACATGGCGTTCTGTAGGTGCTCATACAGAAAAAAAAAATTAGCATATAATATTTAGATGCACAGGTTGATGAACCACCCTGAATACCTTTTGGGAGATAGGTGGTGGGATATAATAATAATAATAATAATAATAATAATAATAATAATAATAATAATAATACTCCATCTCCCCGAGGGGACTCAAAGCGGTTCCCAAGTAATATCACAAAACATACAGAGTAAAAACAACATAACCATAAGATTAACAAACAAAATATAAACATAAAAATTGTCGCCATAACACACATATATTAAAAGTAATCCTGCCTGTTCAAGGCAATTCAAAATTTAAAAGACCGGGCCAAGATTTGTGCAAGCCCAAAAATTCTAGGGGCCCGGGAATTAAGCGCAATGCTATGGCAGGCAACAATAATATTATGTCTGTGGCTGTCCATTCCAGGGCCGATTAGAGGAAAGAATCTGGGTAACTGGTAGGAAGAATAAAGCCGTATTAGACAGTGTGTGGGGCTGAGTTAGAACTGGTCATTTTCAAAGGTTTGTTGAAACCACCAGGTCTTCAAGCTCTTACGAAAGGAGGGGAGAGATGCAGCCTGTCTTATTTCCTTTGGAAGGGCGTTCCAGAAACGGGGGGCCACCACTGAGAAGACCCTCTCTCTCGTCCCTACCAACCGCACTTGAGACGGTAGTGGGACTGAGACGAGGGCCTCCCCAGAAGATCTTAGAGCTTGTGCCAGTTCATAGAAGGAGATGCGATCGCGGAGATAGGCGGGGCCCGAACCGTTTAGGGCTTTATAGGTCATGACCTGCACCTTGAATTTGGCTCGGCAACTTATCGGCAGCCAGTGAAGCTGTTTTAATAGGGGTGTTGTATGCTCCCTATAGTTTGCTCCAGTAATTTATTATTATTATTATTATTATTATTATTATTATTAACATATAACGATTGAAAGTGGGAGCCAGCACTTTAAAACGCTTCGTAATGTGATATGGAAAATACACAGGAAGTCACCAGGTAACAAACAGTTCTTTCCAAATAATTATGTTTTGATGATATTTTTTCCCCTTTTAGCCGGACTCCTGGCAATTGCCCAAACTCTGCAAACGATGTGGATCTTTTAGGGCCAAACCAGAATGGATCTGAGGGCTTAGCACAGCTAGCAAGTACTAATGGTGCAAAGCCTGTGGAAGATTTCTCAAACATCGAGTCCCAGAGTGTTCCACTGGATCCCATGGAACATGTTGGAATGGAGCCACTTCAGTTTGATTATTCTGGCACTCAGGTACCTGTGGACTCAGCTGCAGCAACTGTGGGCCTATTTGACTACAATTCGCAACAACAGGTAGATCTTACATTTATTAATGCGGATGCCTTTTCCCATTTTTTCTCCTCATTGACATTAAGAATCAGAAATGGTTTTGTGCAGCAACAAGGCAGCCTTTTGATTTCCCCATCCCATTTTTCCCCCTGCTGAGAGCACTTACACTGCAGGCTTTTCTTGCCTGCATATATGTGCTAATATATGTGGGTCATTGATTTCAAAGAAAGGTTTAAGCTGAGGAGTAAATAAACATTAGTTTTGCTTTATAGGAGCTTCTTGTTTAATTAGAACCTAATTTTAAAGTGTTTGTTTTTTACCTGTGCATAAGATATGTCTGCACCTATGTGTACAGCATAGTTGTAGCAGCTGCAAGAGTTGTTATCTTGGGGGAAATCCTAAGAAAATATGCAGTTTAGCTCTTTGATTACTGTCACTCAGAGGCCCCCAAAGTGATTAATAGACTGATCAAAGGGGTGAGGAAAAAAGGCTATTATGGAAGTAAATAAAATCTCTAAGGTTTCTGAGTGTTGAAGAACTGCAAGCAAATAGATCTGTGAGGTCAGGAAGTAATGCATTAAGAAAGTTAGCAGCATTGGGATATTGAAGGGTAGAATTAGTCATCCCCTTCCTTTTTTAAATTAGGGTTCTGTGGCGTACTCTGTGCCAGTGTGCACCAGTTTAGTCCCTTATGAAAATTTTCAAAACAGCACTGAAATAAGATTTTGAAATAACTTGTCTTTAATTTCAGTTGTTCCAAAGACCGAATGCTCTTGCTGTTCAGCAGCTGACAGCAGCCCAGCAACAGCAATACGCATTGGCAGCTGCTCATCAGCCACACATAGGTAAGTTCTTTAGTAATAACAATTACAATCAATAATGTATTGTCGAAGGCTTTCATGGCTGGAATCACTAGGTTCTTGTAGGTTTTTTCGGGCTATAGGCCCATGTTCTAGAGGCATTTCTCCTGACGTTTCGCCTGCATCTATGGCAAGCATCCTCAGAGGTAGTGAGGTCTGTTGGAAATAGGAAAATGGGTTTATATATCTGTGGAATGACTGGGGTGGGGCAAAGAGCTCTCTGCTGAAGCTAGGTGTGAATGTTTTAGCTGACCACCTTCATTAGCATTTGAAGGCTTGGCTGAGCCTGGGAAAATGTTCTGTTGAGAGGTGTTAAGATGTGCCTGGTTGTTTCCTCTCTGCTGTTTTGCTGTAGTAATTTTAGAGTTTTTTAATACTGGTAGCCAGATTTTGTTCATTTTCATGATCTCCTCCTTTCTGTTGAAATCAATAATCAATAATCTTATCTGCCTCTCCTCAGAGCTTGAGGCAGGTCACAGCACATTCAAAAACACAAATACAATAACAATTCTACACACACACATATTAAAATGTAGTTCCATAAAATATACATATCATCCTTACCAATAGAAGGCCAAATGTCTTCTTATTTTATCTTGAGTGGGGTTTTTTTCAGTTGCTATATACTTTAGCATTTTTGTTTTGTTTTAACACAACTGAGAAACCTCTGACCCTCCAGATATATTGGATTTTGTTCCCCTGGCTTTTAACCCCCACAGTGTATTATCAATGTTCATGAAGGGTAGAAAACTCAGCCAAAAATGCTGAGGCTGATGGGAATTGTAGGACTCCACAGTGGGAGAGCCAATAAAATAGTATTTTGAAGTCCTCTGAGAGAAATCTGCAAACTGAAGAGGATAATTAATGTGTACAAGAAGAACTAACATTACCATATTTGGGTTGTTTTCATGATGGAAAAAGAAGATTAAGGAAAACTGCCTTTTCTAGATGTCCTAGTCATCCGTAAATAAAGAACAAAACTCAAACACAGGGGAACTTCAGAAAAGAAACAATCAGGAACAGCTAATCACTTCTCAACCAAGGATTCCCCCAGGCAGGAACAAGCCACACCAAAAAACTGTCAGGCCATCAAGTGCTAATCAAGGTGGCCAATTGAAACATTCACACCTAGCTCCAACAGACAAGAGTTCTTTCTTCCACCCTGGACTTTCCACAGATATATAAACCCAATTTTTCTAGTTTCCAACAGACCTCACAACCTCTGAGGATGCCTGCCATAGATGCAGACGAAACGTCAGGAGATAATGCTTCTAGAACATGCCATAAAGCCCCAGAAAACTACAACAGCCCAGTGATTCCAGCCATGAAAGTTTTTGACAATACATTACCATATTTTCTTGAGTCTTATGCACCATCAAGTCTAATGCACACCTCGATTTTCAAATCCCTGAAACCATAAAAAGAGGATATCCTTCTAAATGTAACACACAGTGGCAAAAAGGTGCTCTCTTTGCAATTTGGCCAAAAAAAGGCACACATTACAGTTGCTGCCTGATTAGAATCCCTTCTTTAAAAACAAAAGTGTTGGAGCACCAAAGCTTCCATGAACAGAAAGGAAGGCCATAGGGTGCATCTATGTTTTAGAATGAATCCACTTTAATTGTCTTGGTTCAATGCTATGGAGTCATGAGGGCTGTAGTTTGATAAGGCCTTGAGCCTTCTCTGCTAAAGAATGCTGATACCTCATCAAACTACAAAGCCCATCGAGCCCTGGCCATTAAATAAGAGATGAGGTTCCTCAAATGGGAGCTCCAGGTGCTCCTGAAGCACTTTCCCTTTTTGCATTGAGATTACTGTTTTATGTGGATGTAAATTTATAATTATAATATTGTATTACATTATAATAATATAAACATTATATGTATATACAATATATTATATTATATTATTAGTAAAGACAAGATGGAAGTGTCTTCTGCTCCCTTATGTCTTCGCTCTGGCCAGAGCAGCCATTGGTGCCAGAAGAGGGAGGCGCCTCCCAAGTGATGATATAGGCAGAAGACAAGATGGAAATGTCTTCTGCTCCCTTCTGTCTTTTTAGAAGTAATTTTAAAAATCTTTTTGCATGCCATTCTATTTTTTTTTCTTTTTAGTAGACTAGTAAATAAGTTTTGGGAGCTGGATGTGAAAATGGATATATTAATGCAGTTTTCTTATTGACATAATCCTAATTGATTCATTGTATGGTTTTTCAGTTGCATATTAAAGGAAATAAATGCTTGATAATTTTTATGGCATATTGCCCTAAAGCAGATTTTATCTTTCTTTTTTGTGGTTTCTGTGAGTGCACACCAATGGGTTAACTGTGCCTGCGCCATGCAACTCAGAACCTTCTAGAGCAGTGGTGCTCAACCTGTGGGTCCCCAAGTGTTTTGGCCTACAACTCCCAGAAATCCCAGCCAGTTTACCAGCTGTTAGGATTTCTGGGAGTTGAAGGCCAAAACATCTGGGGACCCACAGGTTGAGAAGCACTGTTCTAGAGGCTATTTTCAGTAGTTTTACTGTTCTGGCATAATTCTCCAGATTCTCATCCATTTGGATCCTGACAGGCACATTACGATATCTATGACATCGTTAAAATGATATGCAGGATCTAAGGCTAAAATGCCAAATAAGGATGGCTATTACTGCTGCTTAGTCTTCCACAGTGAGGCACACATGCAAGATTTGCCACTTTATGTCAGTGGCAAGGAAAAATGGAGCAACGCCTGAAAGCAGACCTCTATGAGACTATCCTTAATGGTCAGCCTTCTTCCTCAGTCTCTTACTCTCCCAAAACCCCTTCTGTGCCATCTAATAATAATAATAAAACTTTATATCCTACCCTATCTCCCCGTGGGGATTCAGGGTGCTTACCAACAAATTAAGGCAATTATTCAGTGCTCGTAACAAAGACAATAACCATAAAATTTAAACAAAAAACACTAATAAAGTAAGTTATAACACCAGACATTGTGAAGTTAAAATCAAACAGTTAATCTACCAAGCTTCAAAAGCCTTCAATTGGCAGAGGCTGCCGCTCTCTCGACCTCCATGCTTAAACAAGCTCGGACGAGACCAAAAGGTCCAAAAAGTGCAAGGCTTTCTAAATGGATTGCAAATATGATCCAAGTACTATCCATCTGGCCTATGAACTGACAGGAATACCTGCTCCAAATACTATTAGAGGTCATTTCATGAGGTCGGTCTTGGCCGCTTTCCTCAAACCGATTCTCTTGCAGGACATTTGTCGGGCTTTGACATAGTCCCCTTTGTGTCCCATTATGGGACTCTGTGGCTAATAGGGACACTGCCTTTGGTCGAGCATTCTGTTTTCCTGTGTTGCCTTAGTTTTTCTCACTGTTGCTTTACACTCAGTGTTTATAACACTTAAGTCATGTGCCTTATGATTAAACCCTTCTGTTTTGGTTTGTATGACATCAATAATAATAATAATCATCATCATCTTTATTTATACCCCGCTACCATCTCCCCGATTGGGACTCAGAGCGGCTTACATGAGGCCAAGCCCAAACAGCAATTACAATTAAAAAAAACCAAAAACACAAACCGAAAACTCAAACAATAAGCAGTAACATAAAATAAATGAATACATAGCAATATACAAATTACAGTATGCACAGGCACAGTAACAATGGGTGGGCTACATGTAGTGATTTAAAGACAAAGTAATTAAAACTAATTAAAAACTCGGGTGAGATTAAAGGGAGAAGCGGGTAATTCATGGAAGAGGGCTTGTTTTAGCAGGAGTTGTGGAATCGATTCATCTTTCATTTTGCCCCTTTATCAGGCCACTGTTTGATATGCACTTCTGTTATGTGCGTGGTATTCTGTTGCTTTAATGGTTACTCTTACCCATTAAAACAATTGGTATTGCATGTTTTATTTGATATAACATTTATTTTTGACATTCAATAATGTATTGACAAAGTGGAAATGCTTATTTCTTGATCCTTCAAACTACATGTCCAAGGATGGAAAAGTAAAGTCTTTATTCACATTAAATGCTTTCCTCCTTATATTTCAACCTTCACATGTCTAGGTGAACTTCTTGTTACTTTGACATTCTTATCTCTGACTTTTTCTCAACCTCTTGTCAACCTTCCCTCCTGTGCGATAGCTTGCTCGTCTCCCATTGGTGTGCACCACAAAGAAGAAACACAGGTAGCTTACCTGTAGCTGTAATTCTTTGAGTGGTCTTCTGTGAATTCACACCACACCCGCTTGCCATGTCTTGCAGAAGTACTACATAGCAGAACTTGAATTGAGACAATGGCAGTGCCTGCCCATTATATGCCATCAGAATGGTGGGCGGAAATACCGCCAAAAGTTATCCTTTTGAGTTCTAGAAGGTTACGAATTGCATTGCTTAGGGGCAGGTAACCCATTGGTGTAAATTCACAGAAGACCAGTCGAATAACTACAGTTACAGGTAAGCAATCTGTGCGTCTCTTCCAAGATTGTTTTTAAACTCCTGGCGAATTGTGGCCATTGTTTTGATCCCTCATGAGATATAAACCAATTAATAGGCCACAGACTGCAGTCGCCATTTTTTTAGGGGCATCTGCCTGGTTTTACATTAGTTTTAAACCTTGAATGCTCTTAGCCTACTTCATGATCTCTAGTTGGTGGAGTACTCCACTCCATCCCCTGCAAACACATTTTGTTAGGGCTGCAGCTCTAGTCGTTTGTTTTTACTGACAGGTATGTTTTCAGCAGGTTTAGCTCCTGCTGCCTTTGTGCCCAATCCATACATCATCAGCGCTGCTCCACCAGGAACGGACCCCTATGCAGCAGGGCTTGCGGCGGCTGCAACATTAGGTGAGATGCATGTAAAGATGTGATTTAACTTTGACATAAATGTTAATGAAATGTTTTACAAAGGATTGGATCTGTAGGTGCATTCTGTTCACAGGAAGGCAGTTTTTTTCACCTTTCATATCTCTAGCCATTCCAAAACTCTGTGGATGACTAGGACTACATATACTATTGCCCTAGTTGGTTTTGCTGGCTAAAGATAATGCAAATACTAATCTGAATCTTTCAGAAGAATACTAATAATGATGAGAAAATAAATTCAAACATCCAGCCTTGCATTCGAATTGTGAGAATTGCTATAGAATCCATGTATTATAGCGGAGCCCCCAGTGGCGCAGTGGGTTAAACCCCTGTGCCGGCAGGACTGAAGACCAACAGGTCGCAGGTTCGAATCTGGGGAGACGCAGATGAGCTCCCTCTATCAGCTCCAGCTCCTCATGCGGGGACATGAGAGAAGCCTCCCACAAGGATGATAAAAACATCAAATCATCCAGGCGTCCCCTGGGCAACGTCCTTGCAGACGGCCAATTCTCTAACACCAGGAGTCACTCCTGACACGACAAAAAAATGTATTATAGCACCATATGAACACAAATATATCCAGAGCAGCCGTGTTGAATATTTTCTTTCCATCCATGATTACATGTTTAGTCTGTAGCAAAAATGAGCATATGAAGTGAGCCTCAGCCAGGTGTTCATTGCAATAAAAAACTTCCTTTGTGTTCAAGATTTCTAATACCTGCAGATCTGAAAATGAGGCAGCATAAAATAGAAAGCTTTGACAGCTGGAATGAGCTCCATTCAGCACAACCACTTTACTATGTACTTGTATATGGCATTTCTGGAGAAAGTACTTTTCAAGGAGTTGTTATGTTTCCCAATTTTAGCAAAAAAAATGGAAAGGAATGATTACAGTGAGCTGGATAACTTTTGTATGACCCATTCCCTTGACAGTTCCCCTGCACAGCCCCCTCTTGGCTTGGCGCCTTTTCTCTCTTAGCTTGGGACTTATAAATCCCTGTAGAAAATGGCATAGGGCAGCCCTGGAGGCAGTGGAAATCCACAAATAATCAAATCTGCGAAAACAAAGGCATGATGAACACGGGGCCCTCACTGTATTACTTCCCTCAATCTAGAGACTGTACTTGTATTGATTCAACCTATAATCACATTGCCTTTTTTAGCTGTATTTATTTATCGTATAAGGAGCGAACCAAGGGTAGGGTTGTAATGTATTAAAAAGACCACAAAGTTTAGAAACTTGGCATTCTGTTAAATGTACTTTGACCAGTAGCTGGCCACTTGGAGTGCCTGTGGTGTTGCTATAAGAAGGTCCTCCATTGTTCATGTGGCAGGGCTCAGACTGCATTGTAATAGGTGTGCTATAATACTGTTGACTCATGTTCAGCTTGTGGTGTACACTGAGTGCTAGATTCCTTACATGTGTTCTGTTGTCAAGCCAAGTGTCACTCATCTATATCCATTCATTTAGGGGACCGCAGTGGCACAGTGGGTTAAACCCTTGTGCCTGCTGAAATGCCTAAAGGTGGGTGATTTGAATCCGTGAGACAGGGTGAGCTCCCATCTGTCAGCTCCAGCTTCCCAGGCAGGGACATAAGAGACGCCTCCCATAGGATGGTAACACATCCAGGCGTACCCTGGGCAATGTCCTTGCAGATGGCCAATTCTCTCACACCAGAAGCAACTTGCTTCTGACATGATTTTAAAAAATCAATCCATTTTATTTTTTCTCCTATGTGTACTACCTCACATTTCTCCCTGCTGAAATACATTTTGCTAGGTGTGGCCAATTAGCTGTCTAATGTGTTAAGAATTCTGATCCTGTCCTCTGGGGCATTAGCTCTCCCTCCCAATTTGGTCTCATTTGCAAATTTGTTAAGCATGTCCTCAGTTTAGAAAAGTGTTGAGCAGCATTGGGTGTCATGCCCATCTGGAGAGTTCAACTCTGTCTGAGAAAGCTTTGTGTCCCCTTGTATGCTGGAGGGTAGAGATACATGGCGATCAAGTTGCTGGGCCTTCTCCTACAGGGCAACCAACTTCCACATTCTCCAACGAGAACACTAACCCATCACAGCTATTTCAGATGACTGCAGCAGCTCCCTTGCCATCCAGATTCAGTAATCTCAAATAGGCAGTGAAACAGAACTCAAGGTGTCTCCTACAAAATACCAATTTGACCTCTCCTGAGAGCCAAATGCTGCGTGCCTTGCAGCTATATAGAGAGCTCGTTAATAATAATGATAGGCTCAAAGAAAACACACCTAATTATCAGAATAAATAACAACAGCAAAACAATCACAAATTTGCAGCAAGTTCTGAAGACATTTTAAAATTATTACTCAAAGCTTTATCAAAAAGAACAGGAAGATTTAGGTAAAATTTCTCTATTTGTTAATGAGACTAAGTGTATAAGGTTAACAGAAGCAATGAAAGACAATCTGGATAGATTAATCGCACCCGATGAGTTAATGGAAACAATAGATAAGATTAGATCACATGAAGCTCCTGGCCCAGATGGCCTTTCACCACTTTGTTACAAAACATTCAAGGAAGAGCTGACACCAATACTTGTGTCAGTAATGAATAAAGTTTTGGGAAAAGGTGTAATTCCAGAATCTTAGAAAGAATCCACAATTGTACTAATCCCAAAATCAGATAAGGATATGGACCAAATTAAAAATTACAGACCCATCTCTTTATTAAATTGTGATTATAAATTATTTGCTACAATTCTGGCAAATTATATTATTTATTTATTTATTTACTTTATTTGTATACCGCTGTTCTCAGCCCTTAGGCGACTCACAGCGATTAACAACAGAACAGCAAAAATTCAATGCTACAACAACACGGTATATAAAAACAATTAACATCATAAATACATTAAACAATTAACAGCAGTAACCATTCACTGGCGTCTCATAACTAAAACATGATCCAGATTCGTCATCCATTGTTCTATTCCTATGTTCATTTCACTCATTGCACTGTCTATTCAAACGCCTGTTCAAATAAATATATATAATAATATATATGTCGCCATTCTCACTCCGAAGGGGACGCAGGGCGGATCACAGTATACATACATGGCAACATTCAATGCCGTTTTGTATAGAAAATACAGAGACTGACAGAACAGAAGGAGGTGTGTTGTTTCGACTCAATGTCCATCTTTTTGGTGCCATGGAAGGTTGGGCTCGAATCAATGGAAGGTTGAGCTTGAATCCAACCACAGGGGGTGCTGTCGCTCCATCCTCTTATGACGAATTAGGAGTGTGTGTGCTTGTCTAATTTCCTTGGGGAGGGCATTCCAGAGTCGGGGGGGGGGTTGCTTCTGAGAAGGAAGCCCTCTCCCTCGTCCCCACCAACCGCGCTTGAAGGAGGTGGGATCGAGGAGGGCCTCCCTGGCTGATCTCCAGGCCCGAGCAGGTTCATAGGGAGATATACAGTCACATAAATAGGCAGGACCCAAGCCATATAAGACATTGTAGGTAATAACCTGCACTTTGAGTTGGGACCGGAAGCAAATTACAACCAGTGGAGCTGCTTTAAGAGGGGGGTCGAATGTTCCCTACCACCCGCCCCTGTCAGTAGTTTCTACTAGCTTCTAACCAGTTTTCACTCACTTCTTCTCAGCAGATGCCCTGCCTTTTTGAGACCATGTGCTCTGGTGGAGGACCAGAGGCCACATATACTAAAACATAATTGTAATGAACCCTCAAGCAAGCCTCCACTGAGCTCACACAAACAATCATCCTTAATCTAACACAGACCACAACCCTAACCCAACAAACCCTCGGAGACTGGGGTTTAATCCCACAGACACAAGTTTACCTTTTGCTCCCTCTTCATTCCTGCTGGCCTTGCCTTTTATCCAAGCCCCTTTATGTGATCGAGAGACCTAGTGGCTGCTAGCTCCTCCCCCAACCAACATCTGAGACAGAAAGTAGACCTGTGATTTTAACATTGCCACTTCTGTGTGATTTTAGTAGCTTTTCTGATGAAGAAGCCAGTGAATCTTCACAAGCTTCTATGGTGTATTTTGCGAATTTTAGTTGGCCCAATAAAAGCACCACTGTTTTGTGGATTTGGGGTTTTGTTATGCAAAACTCTCCAGTTACTTGAGGAAGTGGTGGCGGAGGATGGCATTCGGCAACCCTCAACATAGCCCTTTTTTTTAAACAAATGGAGATAATGGAAGTTACTGTATATACTCGAGTATACGTCTAGTTTTTCAGCCCTTTTTTTAGGCTGAAAAAGTCACCCTCGGCTTATACTCGAGTCAAGGTTATTTATTATTTTCCTCTGTTATTATTTTTATTACATTTATAATTTTACTCTATTTATTGTTATTACATTTATTATTTTATGATATTATTACTGGTATTATTACATTTCCATTATTTTACTCTATTATTATTATTACATTTATTATTTTATGATATTATTATTTGAAGGATACTTAAGCACATTTACATTGAAGAAGGTTAGAAAAAAATGTTTAATCAGAGTTGGGCAGTCTTATCTTAAATTACAGTTTTATGTAACTATTTAGTCTAATGATGCCTCAATTAATGTAATTTTATTGGTATCTATTTTTATTTTGAAATTTACCAGTAGATGCTGCATTTCCCATCCTCGGCTTATACTCAAGTCAATACGTTTTCCCAGTTTTTTGTGATAAAATTAGGTGCCCCGGCTTATATTCGGGTCAGCTTATACTCGAGTATATACAGAATATCTTTGCTAGTGTCCTCTCCTCTCCCTGCCGCTTGCTTGCATCAGCAATAGTCCAAAAGTACTGGGTTCTTATTTCAAAAAAGTAGCCTTTTACAGCTCTTGTTTTGTTATTGGAGGATCAATTAGATGCCTGAACTAACTAGCAGAAGATGAGATGCATCCTCTCTTGATATTTTAGGGCCTGCGGTTGTCCCCCATCAGTACTATGGAGTGGCTCCCTGGGGAGTTTATCCTGCCAGTCTCTTTCAGCAGCAAGCTGCTGCCGCCGCCGCCGCCTCTAATTCCTCCAATCAGCAGACCAGTCAACAGACTCAGCAAGGACAGCAACAGGTGAGCAGCACTTCTTGGCTTTGCACACATACAGCCGACCTGAGATGTACAACAGTGCTTAAAGGTACAGCCCTTAAAGAATAGTCGTTGCCGATGTTACAAAATAGAGCGATCACCAAACAATTAAAATGTTAGCATGTAACACAAAGTGGCGTGTCCCGTAAAGGGAATAATTTTTTTGTAAATAGAGTAACATTTTACTCTGTTCTGTTTAACCCTTCTGGAAAATAAGCTGTTTGTTTTGAGATAGATGGCTTGCAACATAGCATAGATCTCTTTAAGAAATCATAGAACCATAGAGTTGGAAGAGATCTCATGGGCCATCCAGTCCAACCCCATTTTGGCAAGAAGAGATGTGTGTATAGTTCTGATACCCAGACTCCAAACACAATGCCTAGATATGACATAATGAGTCTGTTTTATTTATGGAGAGTCTCCATGATCAAACAAACCAAATTGTCATTGTGTGTGTGTTTAGATTCATATTTAGTATTTACTGTAGCAGAGTAGTGATCTCAGCCTTACAAGCAGATTTTCTCTCATTTCTGGCCTTAAATCTGGTCTCAATGCAAAGTGCTTAAAGCAGTGGATCACACTTACAGATGTGGATCTCATTGCTGTAAAATAGTATGTTGTAACATTATTTCTACAAGGGTCAGATGAGTGAAACAATGTTTTTTATTTATCCATTTTGGTTGTCTTCAAAGGTCTGGCAATGATGACACACTTGCCCTCACTGAGAACACTGTTCAGTATTGATGATCCTCTTATGTGCTGAGCTAGACCTTCTTAGACAAATTGTTGTGACAGTGTTGGGTAGTAGGAATGTATTCCTCTGCCCATTGATGTACATACATCTTTAGAAATATATTTTGATAGCCAAGAGACAGTTCCATTGCAATGACAAGATCACTTATAGAATTTTGTGTATACCTATATATAGAACTATGTGTCAGTCTGAAAATACAGAGGGAATAAGGTCATTAGCTCTTGAAAAAGGTGCCAGGTATTTTTTAAAAAATAGAACTATTTTCCAAGGGTAATAGAATAGTGGCTTTTTTGCTGTTTACATTTGATTATTATTACAATTACTATTTGGATGTTTATTTGTAACCACCTTTTCTCTCTACAAAAAAGACTCAAAAGCAGATTATAGTAAAACCAATGCAAAAAAATATATGAACATCAAAATAGAATTAAATTAATGGTATTAAAAATAAACAGTTAAAATCCTTAAATTGAGGGGCAGCCACCAAGAAAGAAGATCCAATCTCTTGTTCCCACCAACTGAACTTGCAATGGAAGTGGGATCGAGAGACGGGTCTCTCCTGAAGGGGATCTCAGGGCCCTTTCCTGATTCGCTTTAACCGTCTTGTTTTCCTGTGTTATCTGATGTTCCTGTACATTTGCTCTTTGACCTTCTTTCTGTAGGACATATCTGTGATCCAAGTCTATTCTGATCACCCTACTATGCTGGAATATTTCCCTGGGCTTCCCTATCCCTTGTAAACTAAGACAGATCTATGGATGGTATACTGTTTAACACAGGCATGGGCAAACTTTGGTCCTCCCTCCAGGTGTTTTGGACTTCAACTCCCACAATTCCTAACAGCCACAGGCCCTTTCCTTTCCCCCCTCAGCCACTTAAGTGAAAAGGAAATGAAAAAAGAAAAGCAGCCTGAAGCTGTTAGGAATTGTGGGAGTTGAAGTCCAGAACACCTGGAGGGAGTTTGCCCATGCCTGGTTTAACTATGCTCCATTTTATGTCTTTCTAGCCATCTTGGTCTTCGTAAAGAATTTCGTTATGCTTTATCACAGTTATGAATAACCCTTATGCAAACTTGCATTGAGTGTTTTGACACTGAAGTGTTCTTGGTGTTTAAGAAAAGTATCCTTTGGTTTACCATTCCCTGGGCTCTTTGTGTGGCACAATTCATGCTACCTACTATCTTGAACTTACTAGTCCCCCAGTTGTGTAATTCATGGAGAACACAAAGAAGTACTTGTTGCTTACTTGTAACTATATTTCTGTGAGTGATAACCTGTCACATCCTCCCTCTGGACTCTTACCACCTCAGTCACATGTGCTGTAACGTTGGACATGGAACTGAGCAGCATTGGCAGTAACTGTCATATTTATGTCACCTAGAGAGTGGGCAGGGTTGGTGCCAAAAAAATTATGCCTAGCGATTCTAGAAGGTTTTGTAGGAAGCTTGTGTTGGTGCATTAGACCCAATTGTGTAAATTTACAGATAACCACTAGGAGAAATATAGTGACAGTTAAGCAACAAGTACTTTTTCAGCTTGTCAATACAAGACTGAACACTCGGTCGTGCTGAGTTAACTGGGGAAAGAAAAAAGAGCATGCTGAGTAGATTGGGAAGAAAGCAGAGCATTGTTGAAGCAATGGACCAGGTCAAAAATGCAGTACATGGCTATAATTTAGATCGGTTGAAGGAGGATAACATTTTTTAAAATCCCTGGTAGTCAAGAAGAGGATGCCTGTATTCACTGGAGAGGTGCATGTAAATGCTTGCATGACCACTAAGTATGTTTGTTTTTGTTTACTTCTTCCTCGTGTAGTCTGTGAAATGTGCACAGATGGATTCCCCCTGCGCATGTGCAGCAATTTCGGAACATTTCAGAGCTTATTGATTGAATTTAGGCGGAGGCCCCGCCCACACTCCTCATAAGTATATATGGCCCTGGGTGGGGCTACGCCTCAGTTCCTCTTTCCATGCGACATTAGCAGCAACAACAACAACTTGGAACTTCCTCTCAATCTTCCTTTGTACTTACCTTTGGACCGGACGCTCAACTACCTGATCTCTCCAACCCTGACTCAGACCTCGTCACTACAGGCCAGATTCTAACATGTCCACTTTATATTTTAAAAAATGTGCGTCCTGCGGGATTAACCTCCCTGACACCAAGCGCCACAACAAATGTGTTTTGTGCCTGGGCGAATCTCACAATCCCCAGTCTTGCACTATCTGCTTGTGTTTCACCCCCCAAGCCCGGCGTAACAGGGACATCCGCCTTAAAGCCCTCCTTTACGAGCAGGCTCTAGCCCCCGAAGAAACACCGACTTCCATGCGCCTTGTTCCAGAACCTCCCTTACCCTCCCTCACCCAGGGACAACAAGAATCTCCCTCTCCGCCTGACATGGACAGGGTTGCAACTACCAAGGACACCAATCTGCTCACGGAGCCTCCCAAAAAGAAGGCAAAAGCCTCTAAACAATCTTGCCATGCGGCAAAATCGAAACAAACTCACAACAAAAATAAAAAAGGACAGCAACTCACTGACAACCAGCCCTTGTGTCCTCCTCCTCCAAACATTGCACTCCCTGAAGCAGGAGTTGCCCAGCTGGAACAATCCTCTTTTCCTGACCTGGTTGAACCACCCCAACTCCTCTCCTTGGAGTTTCCTGCCTTGTTCCTCGAAAACCGACGGCCAATCTTTCACAGAGACCGTCTGCCCTTTAGCACTTCAACTAGCCACACCTCGGGACCGCCCCTCTTCCCCAACACTGCCAACAAGGCCATGGTCTAGGGATTACCTTCCCTCTCTCTCCAGATGCTCTCCCCGGCGCCCTAAATGTTAACCCTCCTCGGCTTCGGGTCGCTCTCCTTAACATATGCAATGTTAACCATTTCATCAAACTGCAGAAATTCCGCATGACCACCCTTTCCTCTACCCTTCCTTTTATTAGTGTGGCTAGCTACCGTGGACCTTCGGGTGCCTATTTCCTGGAGCCTGGAGCTCATACTCTCCCAACTTTCCAAACCTCCCTTTGAACCTATGTCATCCAACTGCATTTCTCACCTCTCATGGAAAACTACCTTCATCAGCAAGACAAACCCGCAAGCTTGCCGCCCTCCGGGCAGACTCCCCTTATATCCGATTTTATGATGACAGTGTAGTTCTTCGCACCGACGTCACGTTTCTTCCCAAAGTTGTTTCCCATTTTCACATGTGCCAGGACATTACCTACCTTCTTTCGTAACCCATCTTCTCCACTTGAAGATGCCCTTCACTCCCTGGAAGTCAAAAGAGCTCTGGCATTCTGCATACATAGGACTACCCCTCACAGGAAATCGCCGAGACTATTCCTCAAATACAGACAGAACGCCCTAGGCCTCCCAGTAACACCTCAACGACTCGCCTCCTGGATTGTTCTGACGATTCGCCTGGCTTACCAATTAGTGGGCAAGGACCAGCCACGTAATGTGACTGCTCATTCAACTCAGTCAGTTTCTGCCTCCTAAGCCTTCCTTCAAGGTGTCCTGGTTGAGCAAATTTGCAAAGCAGCAAGGTGGTCAACACGATCAACATTCACTACTCACTACAAGCGGGACATCATGGCAAAAAAGACTGTGCTTTTGGCAGAGCCATGCTGTTCTCCTCTGTGGCATAACCCACCTCCAAGGTGAGTAACTTTTTAGTCACCCAACTGTGCGCATTTCACACATTACACGAAGGAAGAAGTATAGGTTGCTTACCTGCAACCGTATTTCTGTGAAATCTGCACAGCCCCGCCCATCCTCCCTGCTGCATCATGCCTCACAACCTCTACTGCTGTCTGGCTATGAGGAACTGAGGCGTAGCCCCGCCCAGGGCCATATTTACTCATGGGGTGTGGGCGGGGCCTTCGCCTAAATTCAATCAATAAGCTCTGGAATGTTCCGAAATTGCTGCGCATGCGCAGGGAAAACCCATCTGTGCGCAGACTAACACTCGAAGAAACAGGGTTACAGGTAAGCAACCTATACTTATGTGTCACAAGAAAAATATTGTGCACCTTTACCATGTAAAGGTATATTAGTACCAGGGCCATTTAACTCGATTTCAATTCTAGGTTATAGTTTAACAAAATGTAGGTCAAGGTTGGGGGGTGGGGGTTAGATACATCTGGAAGGCATTTTTTTTTTTTTTGGATGATTAGTTACCATGATTAATTTTGTAGTTGTCACTGGCAACCATATTGTTGGACCCTTTGGCTGCTAACTGAAGAAAATATAGCAGTTCTTTTGGTTTTCTGTGTTTCTAAGGTTCTCCGTGGAGGAGCCAATCAGCGTCCTTTGACACCAAATCAAAGCCAACAGGGCCAGCAAACAGATCCGTTGGTGGCTGCAGCAGCAGTAAATTCAGCTCTTGCTTTTGGACAAGGGCTGGCAGCTGGGATGCCAGGTAGGCATTTCTGTTTTGTTTCAGCAGCACATTGGGAATGGAAAGATAGGATGCAGAAGAGTATTGCATTGATAGGATCATAAAGTTTATTGGACTGGAAAGACCTTTTAGTCAAACTCCCTACCAGTGCAGAAAGCCACAGTCAAGGTATCTCTGAGAAGTGACCATCCAGTCTTTTAAAACTTCCAGGAAGGGTGCCTCCTCCACTCCCCAAGGCAGTGCAGTTGGACTCTTCTTATTACTATCAGGGTATTTAGCCAGAATGTTCTTTCTTGCAATTTGAGTACTGTCCTCTAGGGCAGCAGAGGACAAAATCACTCCTCCTTCTACATGGCAGCCATGTAACACTAAATGTTATGTTAGTTCTCTGGTGTAACTACTTAAACTTGTTATCCTAGGTTATCCCGTACTGGCGCCGGCAGCATACTATGACCAAACAGGTGCTCTTGTGGTGAATACAGGGGCCCGGAATGGCTTAGGAGCCCCAGTGCGACTGGTAGCCCCTGCTCCTGTCATCATCAGTTCCTCAGCAGCACAAGCAGGCATGTTTCTTCACAAAGTGCGGGCTAAATGTAATTCCGTGAAGTGTTACTAGTTTAACTGTGTACTATCATGAAATGCACAGTTTCATTTTGTGTATCCAAGAACTGACAGAAAGATTCTAATAGGGTTTAAATTCTGTCAAATGGGAAGGGGATCATAATGGAAATGGCATTCAAGGAGGCATCAAGCAGGAATAGCTAGATCAGCAAGCATTACTGGTTCTTAACTGTTTTTTCAATACCAATAATACAATACTGAAACTAACAACACTCAGTTTGGCCTGGAGTGGACTTTTGTTTGCAAGGAACTGTAAACTTAGTTCAACTTTGTCATTCCAAAGTGTGTGCCAAAGATCAAAATATCTTCAAAGGCACTTTGTTCTTTAATTTTAGGAGTGCATTTTTTCTTTGGATCTATCTTTGGACTTTTGAGTGGTAGTGCTGCCATTGTTGTTTTTTGAAGTAAACTCCTTCTGGTAAACCCTGAAGCCCGCTCACTACAGAGTAGTTTGCGAACTAAAAAACAATTTTGTGAATTAAAATATCTGATGAGAAAGCCTTCTCATCTTTTTATCCCATGGTGATTTAAATAACTTTTTTTTACCTTGGATAGACTTATGTTTGCCTTGGGTAAATTTAGATTGCAATTGGTAGTAATTGTAAATATGATTTAAAAGGACACCTTAGGACAATTAATTGCTGAGCTGATAAAAAAGAGACAGAGGGAAATGTGTGTTCTTTGTGCACACTTGAGTGTATATGTGTCATAAATAACTTTTCAATAACTTTAAAGCATAGGTTCTTTTTATTGCAATTTCCAGTGTGAGAGGGTATATCAGAACTTTTACACGAAGAATGACATTGGACATACAGACATACTCTATGCAACTGCATTGGATTCACAATTACATTGGCTAACAAGTAAACAAAGGAGAATTACATTTTCAATCACCATTCATCCACATGCATCCAAATATTACCATATCATTTTCTCCCTCCTTGGAGAAGCACCTGTTTAGGCCAGACCCTCTTTTCCTGCAGCCAGCCAACGCACAGTTCAAAAACTTCCGTAACTTCAAAACACCAAAATGACAAAACTTCTTTCCATAAGAACAATGCCAAGGACCAGATCTCTATTTTCCATACAGCAGAACCTGACACCCTGCACAAAATCTAAGACTCCAAAACTCACTTCTTCCTCTTCCCTTGAGAAAGTTCTTATCAGAGTTTACTTTCAGTTCTTATTAGTAACTTTTAATTACAGTTCCAGGAAGCAGGTAGTTGATCATTGCAGGCCTTAATATTAGAATTGTGTCTTCAGCCAAATTAGGCCCCTTTCATTCAGTTCCATTCATATCCACACGTCATATTAAATTGACATTTATCAAACCTATACATTGAATTTCTTATTACATATGTTACCCAGAAGCTAAGTGTAAACACCTTTGGACTACATAGTGATGTGTGTGATCAACACTACATAAATGTGAGTGAACATTTGCTTAGAAAGTGCATGGGTTCTGTATGGAGTGAACTATATATAAAGAGGTGTCTAAGCTAAATTGCACTAAGCTCTTTGGTTTCTCCCCTTCTTTCTCTCTTTCTGATTTATTTTTATAGCAGTGGCAGCTGCTGCTGCTTCAGCAAATGGAGCTGCTGGTGGTCTTGCAGGAACAACTAACGGTCCATTCCGCGCCCTGGGAACTCAGCAGCCACAACCCCAGCAGCAGCCAACCAGCAACTTGGCTTCCAGCTCCTTCTACGGCAACAACTCTCTAACTAACAGTTCCCAGAGCAGTTCACTCTTTTCTCAGGGCTCTGCCCAGCCTGCCAATACTTCCCTTGGCTTTGGGAGCAGCAGTTCCCTTGGTGCTACCCTGGGGTCTGCACTGGGAGGCTTTGGAACAGCAGGTAGGACTCATGGTTGTCCTTAGGAGGGAGGCGCATCTGTGGGGATTGTGTTGGACTGAGCTGTTCTGGGTATAATAGGGCAGGAACGTGCTTAAACTAGCAGGTCAGGTCCAATGAAAATTAGTTTTGCTCTTTATACTAAAAGAATCTACAGGAATTGTGACTTGAGCAGTCTGATACCTATAGTTTGAATTGTCTTGTAGCTGCCTGAAGGTGAAGAACCTTTGCCACTGCAGGTAGTTTAGACACCAACCAAAGTGAATTCCACCAATCATGGCTAATGAAGTCCAAAACATCTGAAGCATCACAGGCTCCCTATTCCTGCTAGACAGTAAATACGTTTGTGTTGTTAACTTCGCTGCAAAGAGCTTAGGGTGATGCCATGGTTCTTCTGATTTGTTGTTGTTGTTCATTAGTTCAATCATTTCTGACTCTTCATGACCTCATGGACCAGCCCACGCCAGAGCTCCCTGTCGGCCGTCTCCTCCCCCAGCTCCTTCAGAGTCAAGCCAGCCACTTCAAGGATGCCATCCATCCATCTTGCCCTTGGTCGGCCCCTCTTCCTTTTTCCTTCCATTTTCCCCAGCATCATTGTCTTCTCTAAGCTTTCCTGTCTCCTCATGATGTGGCCAAACTACTTCAACTTTGTCTCTAATATCCTTCCCTCCAATGAGCAGTCGGGCTTTATTTCCTGAAGTATGGACTGGTTGGATCTTCTCGCAGTCCAAGACACTTTGATTTGTAATACTTTGTTAATATACAGCATCGGATTTTTCATTGAGTTATTTGACTGAACCTAGATTTACTAGGAGTGAACAGGTTATTCTAACCACTCTTATCATCCCCCTGGTTTTCTACTAAATTTGTTGAGTTAAATTTGTTACAGTTAACTACAGATCACCACCAAAGATCAACAGTTCTTTGGTAGACATATAACGTTACACTTGTAGAAAAATGAAAGCCAGTTTACATACTAATGAGATCGATGCACTTGTTTATTTTTACATGAAGAATTAAATCTTTACTGTTTGATACTGCAGGATTCAGGGTAAAATGCTTTCATGCAGCGCTGGGATGCTTGGTTTGGAGCCTGAGTGGCAGAGTATACTCTGTTGGTTCGCATTTTTTCTCTTGAATTAGGGGGCCACAGTGGGATGTTTTGGGGGTCCGTGCCTCCAACTTTCGAGGTCCCAGGTTGCAGAGTGACCCATGTGCCTGAAATGGACCCACACACACTTCTCTTATTCCAATCAGGGTTTCATAGAATCCTAGATTTGGAAGAGACCCCAAATGCGATCCCGTCTTGCCCCATTTCTGCCACGCGGGAATGCCCAGTCAAAGCCCTCCCAACAGATAGCCATCCAGCTTCTGAATAATAGAATCTTGGAGTTGGAAGAGACTCTATTCTATTAACAGAGACATCAGGAATGTATTCTTCATCTGAAAGGGACACAAGGTGAATTCTTCCCAACTCTAACCATGTTCCCCAATCCTTGGGGGACTTGCTAACTCTGGTTGATTCCCCTCCCCAATCACAGCCAGAATGAGTCCAATTCCCTGCCTCTGAGTCAAGACCTCATCTCTCAGGAAGAGAGCCAAATCTTGCACCCTGAATTGAACAAGCTACTGGCATGGCACCTTGGCTTTTGTTTTAGAAAATGGCCCAGGTCATCTACTTCTTTTGCCACTCCTCTACTCAGTACTCTTATGGATTAAATGAGCTTTCTTATCCTTCCTTCTGACAAGATCCCTTGCCATAAGAATCAAGTTGCCCTCCAGCCTATCCTAATTTTCTTTCTTATTTCCACCTTTTGCAGAAGTTTAGAGAAAAGTAACAAGGCTGATCCAGTTTTGTAGATCAAACATATGAGGAAAAGGTGTGTTCTACATGCTGAAGAGAAGACTGAGGGGTGACACAATTGCCTTCCTTAAATACCACAAGCAGTGTCACAGAGAGGAGGGGGAGCATGTTCTCTGCTGCCCCAGAAGTTAGAACTAAGCCTAATAGTTAGAAGTTACAGAATGGTAGGTTTTTATGGAACATTAGGAGGAAAATTATACTATTGAGTATTACAAGGAATATTGATAGGAAGAGCAACTTGGCAATAGAGCGAATTGCTCAGAAAGGTGGTGGCGTCTCCTACCCTAGACATCTGAAAAAAGGAGTCTGGGCAGCTATCTTCTGGGAATACAATAGGTGAAGCTCCTGCATTGAGCAGGGAGTAGCCTTGATGTCCCTTTCAATTCTGTGTTTCTAAGACATACTCATGTTCTTTTTAAAAATAATCTTTATTGAAGTTTTTTTTTAAAAAACCCAAAGAAAACAATATAGAAAAATCAAAGTGTACAAAACAAAACAAAAAGAGAGAGAGAGAAAAGGAAAGAAGGAAGAAATTTAAAAAATTGTGAAAAAGGAAAAAAGAAAAAAATAAAGATGAAAACACAGCATAGCAGATAGTGGTTAAAAGGAAAAAAAATAAAAAAAATCTGGAGCAGGGTGGTATGTATCTCCTTACTTGACTTCCTGGGTCAAGTGGTTTTTCCTCTTCTTTCTTTTGCCTTGGCTTTTCTTCCCTCTTGTTTTCTCTTCCTTTTATATTATTATATTTCCATTTTTCTGTTTCAAATAATTTGTTACTTTTGTCCAGTCAGTTTCTTTTATTGGGGTCCCTTTATTTTTTTATATTAGGTATGTTAACCTATCCATATTTTTAATGTCAACAATTTTTTCTATCCAGTCACTAATTTCTGGGGTCTCTCCTTTTTTCCATAGTTTCGCGTAGCAAATTCTTGCTGCAGTATTCAATAAAAAAAGGAGTTTATCTATATATTTTTCTAATTTTTGGTCTATTATCTCTTGTAGGAATATCTCGTGTTTGAATGGGAATCCTATTTTTAACATATCCTGCAGTATTTTGTGAATTTCCCCCCAATATATTTTAGATTTTGTACACGACCACTGCATGTAGAAATATGATCCCTCTATATTTCCACATTTCCAACATTTTGTGTTTATATTTTTGTAACATTTCCTAAGTTTTTGAGGGGTCATGTACCACCGATGTGCTACCTTAATCCAATTTCTTTTTAGGTCTGTTGCGTATGTGTATTTGATCTTTGTTTTCCAAATTTTTCCCAATCTTCTTTTTAAATTGTTTTTCCCAATATTTTCTTTCCATCTCTTCATGTATTTTTCCTCTCTTCGGTTCTGTGTTCCATTCCGATAATTTCCTATATATCTTTGCTATTACTTTCCGTTCCGACTTCAGTATAGTGTCCCAGAAGATATCTTGTTCTTGAAAACTTTTAGGGAAATGGGATGGAATAATTGGCCAAAATGTAAAGAATTATTAAAGAAAGAAAAAGGTGTGACTGTATTAAAGACACAACAGGGAATTAATATGATAAACAAAAAAAATCAATGTAGTGTCGAAGGCTTTCATGGCCGGAATCACTGGGTTGTTGTAGGTTTTTCCGGGCTATATGGCCATGTTCTAGAGGCATTTTTCTCCTGACGTTTCGCCTGCATCTATGGCAAGCATCCTCAGAGGTAGTGGTATCAATATAGACAAATACAGGAATGTTTTAAGAAAGACAAAGAAAAAGGTTTTCAAGACATACTCATGTTCTACCGCTGAAGCTACGGATGAGGAAAGGACTCTGCATTCTGTTGATATCAGGTCTGCTCTAGTCTTTTATCTCAACAGGAACCACACTAGGCTACACTCCTCATTTGCTATGAGGGACCAAGGAAAGGCCTCCCTGTATCCCCATTTTTAAAGTGGATTGTGCACAACCCACCTGGCCTATGAAATCAGCCCTAGGCTCCATCCTCTTCGTATCAGAAACCACTCCACCAACATTTCAATGGCTCCTTCTTTGGAGGCTTTGAATCAGAGGCTGGATGGCCATCTCTTGATAGTGCTTTGAGTGCAATTTTCCTGATTCTTGGCAGAAAGGGTTTGGACTGGAGGGCCCACAAGGTCTCTTCCAACTCTAGGATTCTATGATTTTCTTCATGGAATCCAACTTGAAATAAGCCGCACAGCTTTGTGGGCCCATGTTCATATAGCACTACAACATGGACATTGCATCAGCTGACCAAGCAAGCTTGTAAACACCTTCCTCTTAATCACCAAAATTAACACTTTGCTTGCCTTTGAGCGGTAAGTACATATTTGGTATTCTACCCATATGTGTATTCCACCAAAGCTATAAAAGGACAATGGTCTGCTTACTGTGATGCTCACAGAATCCTGCTCTTGTGGTGTCAATCCCTGTTCCTCATTTTAACTTGTACTTCGCTACACAGTCTCTGGAATTGAGGGCTTCATTGGGAATAGCCAGAATTGTATGGATGGTAGAAAGCACTGCCTCTGTCTAAAGACACTTTTCAGCTCTAGAGAGTTTAGACAAGGCATGGGCAAACTTCGTCGCTCCAGGTGTTTTGGACTTCGACTCCCACAATTCCTAACAGCCGAAGGTTGCCCATGCCTGGTTTAGGCAGTTGCTTTAAAGGCACAGAACAACCTAGAGAATGAGAGAAAGGCCGGACATAAATAAAGATGATTATGATGATGATGATCATCATCATCATCATAACAACAACAACAACAATATGTGAGTTCACAGATGACCACGTTACAAGAAAGCAATGGTTTTGCTTAAGAAAGCCCAGGCAACCCATAGTTTATATTTATAGTAGCCTATGATGTATCACTTATTTTTGTAAACAGTCATGATGCCCCTTTCCCATTATTTGAATATTTTGTTCAGTGATAAATCCCCTTGTTTCTATTTCAGTTGCAAACTCTAACACAGGCAGTGGCTCTCGCCGAGACTCCCTTACAAGCAATAGTGACCTGTATAAGAGGACATCGAGCAATTTGACTCCTATTGGACACAGTTTTTACAATGGCCTTGGGTTTTCATCTTCTCCGGGGCCTGTTGGCATGCCTTTGCCTAGTCAGGGACCTGGCCATTCTCAGACTCCACCACCATCCTTGTCTTCACATGGATCATCTTCGAGCTTAAATCTTGGTAAGGAGCTATTTCCTGTAATTGTGAAAATAATGTTTGTAGCAGCCAACATTCATCAGTCATCATGTTAGATGTCTATACAGATGGGATGCGGGTGATTTTGGTGTGGAGGAAGTCTCAACAGTTCCATTGTCATGCATCAATCTTTACCTGGTCAAGTTTGGACTCACTGGGACCCAAAATTAAAGGCATGCTCTGTGGTTATGTGAGGAGCAAATAAACAATTTTTGTTGCCACCATAGCATCTGCAAAGAACCACCCAGAGAAGTGTTGAGTAGTCAGAGGTCTGTCCTCAAGAGGAAAACACTGACCACTCAAAAGCCCGCTTTGAAGATAAAGTTGCTCATATTCAATCCAACTTGGATGCTGTGCTTGATACAGTTCAAACAAATGTAACCTTGGCTCCTGCTTATCCAGTGTTGTTACTTTTCAATTCGTGCAGCCTGAGGATGTGAGCAGGATTCTTGGAGATGTGACAGCCAGCAAATATATACTAGATTCTTATATTTTCTGGTTTATCAAACAGGCCAGAGGGGAATGTGGCTGAGTAGGTGAAGATGATGTAAATGCCTCTCTAGAACAAGGCAGAAATGCTACTTGCCTAAAGCAGACAGTTCTGAAGCCCATATTAGAAACGCCATCCCTGAACCCCTCTGTAATGGACAATTATTGGGCAGTGCCCAACCTTCTATTTTGGGGCAAGGTATTGGACTAAGTAGCAGATTCGCAACTCCAGCGGTTTGTATTATTCTTTCTCAGCTAATATGTGATTCTATGCCATAGTCAGAAGACAGATCAGAGAATAGGAATCCAGCCTTGCTAGATGGCAATGGCAAGGCTTACCATCCTCCTGAAAACTCAGGTTTACAGTTTGAGGTACTCCTGAACTGAGCATTGAATCTGGAGGCCCAGGTTTCTGCTGTGGCCAGGAGTGCCTTTGACCAGTTAAAACTTCTGTGCCAACCGTGCCCATGACTTGAGGTGCCAGATCTAGTCCTGTTGGTACATGCCTTAGTTATATCATGTTTGCATTACTGTAACACACACTATGTGGGGTCTCTCTGAATGTCCAGAAACGTCAGCTGATCCAAAGAGCTGTAGCCAGACTGTTAACCATTTAGGGTCTACAGGGAGCCCACAACTCTGCTGTTGCAACAGCTCCACTAGCTGCTAGTTTGCTTCTGAGCACAATTCAGGGTGTTGGTCATGACCTCCAAAACTTTTTATGGCTCAGGTCCAAGCTATTAGTCTGATCATATTTCCCCATATGAACCTGCCTGAGCTCTGAGATCCTCAGTAGAGGTCCTTTTCTCAGTCCCACCACCATAACAAGTGTGGTTAGCGAGGACATGAGAGAGAGCCTTCATCTTGGTTGTAGCTATGAATCACACAATTGGGTTATAGTGCGCTTCCGATGTTTGTGAATTTTTAGCGATTTGAATTTTGGCAAAACACTGCCCCCTCTCCCCCGGACAGAAAGGTGCCCCCTCACCGGTACGCTCCTGATTTCTTTTCCTCCACTGCTACAGTTAGTAACTCTCCAAATCTGTTTCGCTTTGATTTTCTGCTTTTTTTTTATATCATCTTTATTGCGAATTTTTTTTGCTCTTGTGCAGATATAGAGTAGTGTTAAAACAAAGAAGAAGAAAAAAGAAGAGTAAAAAAAAAAGAGAAAAAATGAAAAAGAAAGAAAAGAGAGTGAGGGATAAAAATAGGAGCGGATCGTCTTGTAACTCCTTTGTTGACTTCCTGAGTATCTTTCTGGTGGTTTTTCCTCTTCTTTCTTTCTTCGCTTCTCCTTCTTCACTCTTGTTTTCTCTTCCATTCATATTATTATCTGTCCATTTCTTTGTTTCAAGTAATTTATTACTTTTGTCCAATATGTCTCTTTTATTGGGGTCCCTTTATTTTTTGTTATTAGATATGTTAACCTGTCCATATTTTTAATGTCTATCACTTTTTCTATCCAGTCACTAATTTCTGGTATATCTTCTTTTTTCCACAATTTCGCATAGCATATTCTTGCTGCAGTGTTTAACAGAAAGATGATTTTATCTGTATTCTTCTCCATTTTTTGGTCTGTTATTCCTAGTAGAAATATTTCCGGTTCAAATGGGATTCTCATATTTAACATTTCCTATAATGTCTTATGTATTTTTCTCCAATATATCCGAGCCTTAGTACACCACCACCACATGTGGAAATAAGTTCCTTCTATCCTTCCACATTTCCAGCATTTAGTATTTATATTTTTAGAACATTTTCCCAGTTTCTGGGGTGTCATGTACCATCTGTGTGCTACTTTAATCCAATTTTCTTTAACGTCTGTTGCTTGTGTGTATTTGATTTTTGTTTTCTGTTGCTTGTGTGTATTTGATTTTTGTTTTCCATATTTCTTGCCAATTTTCTTTTTTTGATTGTTTTTCCCATATTTTCTGTCCATCGTCTCATATAATTTTTTCCTTCTTCTGATTCTACGTTCCATTCCAGTAATTTTTTGTAAATCCTTGTTATTACTTTTCTTTCTGAATTTAGTATGGTATCTCAAAAGGTATCTTGTTCTTGAAAACCTTTTTCCTTATCTATTTTAAAACATTCTTTTACTTGTCTATATTGATACTATGAGATTTTTTTGTCTATCATATACATTTCCTGTTGTGTCTTCATTACTTCACTTCTTCACTTCACTTTATTTATTACAGTCACACCTCTTTCTTTCTTTCTTTCTTTCTTTAATAATTCTTTATATTTTGGCCAAACATATCAACCCATTTCTCTTCTTTGTGTGGCCTCTAATGGGGATATCCATAATGGGGTTTTCTTATTTATTTTGTTTTTATATTTTTGCCAAATTTTTATAACGGCGGATCTAAGAAAGTGATTGCCGAATTTCTTCTCTTTCTTTGAGCCTTCATACCACAAATAATGATGCCAACCTGTTCTCAGATCTACTCCCTCTAGATTTGATTTTCTGCTTTGTGCTTCATTTCTCTCTTATGCACCCACCTCAGATTTTCTTAATGCCACCTTTGCTTAATACTCCCACCATGAGATGTAGGAGATGCTCTCAGAGCAGCAGCAATATGCCAGATTCAGATTTATTTATTTATTTATTTTGTATGCTTATATACCGCAATATCTCAGCCTACAACGGCGACTCATTGCGGTTAACAGTACTTAAAAACAAAAATAATCAAACAATTTAAAAGCATAAAAAACATATACAGTACACAGTATCGGGCCACCAATACCGACCAATGCATCTCTTAGTTAAAATCATAATCCGAATTCATCGTCAATAATTACCAGTCCTTGTCATCAACTTCATCGCACCGGATTACCCGAATGCTTGTTCAAACATCCATGTCTTAAGTTTTTTTCGAAATACCAACAGCGAGGGAGCTGATCTTATCTCTATAGGGCCATTCAAATTGATGGCCATTCAAATTGCCTCCTTTGCCTCACAGAAGACCATGTTGTTGGTTCCTATTCCCACTGCCAGGCCTTCTTCATAGCTCAGGCAAGGAAGAACACAGAGGCTCGCCTCCTTTCTCTCCTTTAACAGTCAGCTTTTTAAATATATATAATTTTTATTGAGAGTTTTCCTTAAAAATACAATTTAGTTTAAATTAAAAAGAAAGAAAGAAAGAAAAGAAGAAGAGAAGAAAAAAAGAAGAAAGAAGAGAAAAGAAGGGGAAAGGGTGGGGGAAGAGAGAAAAGTAAAATTTTCTTTGACTTCCTGAGTATCTTTCGTGAGGATTCATCCTTTTCTTTCTTCCATTTCCATCTTCTATTTGCTTTTTCTCCCTTCCTTTCTTATAGAAGTGATGTATTCTTTTCATATTATTATCTTCTCCTTTTTTTGTTTTAAGTATTTGGTAACACTCTGCCTTTCCCCTATCCCCTGTCAGCATTTCCCCATCTTCTCCTCAAAGAGGCCCTACCGCCTCCTTGTTCTTCCGATTGACCTTGAGTTTTAGAGTTGTAGTTCACCTACATCCAGAGAACACTATGGACTCAGAGCATTCTTAACCCCACCTTGAAGGGACTCACTGGCGCAAACCCCTCTCCAGCTTCACTCTCTCTCTCTCGCCTGCACATGCGCAACACGCTGCCATGCACCAAGCACGCCTTCTCTCCCCTCTCCACTTGGAATCTCAAAAACAGCCCTCCCCTTGGCTGAGAGGCCAGCCAATCACAGCAGAGGAGGGCTTTTGGCGGGAGGATTTGCCATCTGTTTCCAAAAAGGAAGAGAAGGACAGGTGGAGAGATCTTCAGCCTTCTCTTCCAAAGGGGTTACTGAGACCATCAGAAATACGTGTTTTCTTATGGTGTTTGGCGACCCCTCTGAAACCCCCTCATGACCCCCCCCCGGGGTCCCGACCCCCCGGTTGAGAAACGCTAAGTTACATTGACCTTGTTAGGATACTTCTCACTTAAAATGACATGTATATTATGTATTATGGAAGAAGCAGTCATCAGTGTGAGAATACAGTACTTTTGAAAATAGTTAAACCATTTTGAATGAATTTTTATACTTTGAGAGGATAAGCATATTTTCTACATTGTAGACCAAGCCACTCCTCAATCCTGAATCCATAAATTCTAGTAATTCACATCTGTGCTAACTTCTATCTAATCAGTGGAATGCCGCTCAAATCGGTTCATTATGTTGCTTTATTCATGACCTTATGGACGTTCATAGTGCAGGTCAAATAAGGGACATTGCATCTCTGTGCAGATAACTCTGCGGTATTTTATTTCCATTTTATTTCATCCTTAACCTGTTCACATTTGTATCCCTTTATACCTAAACTGCAAGTCTCAGGTCGCTCCTGACACGATATATATTAAAAAAAATACCTAAACTTAAAAAATATATCCAAAATTTTTTTGATTGGGTGTATTAGGAAAATAATGGTTACTTACTATGAATGTGAGGCACAACATTTCTCAAGGACTCTGCCTTTTTCAAAAGCAGGAGAAAAATAAACTCTTGATTATAAATCATTTATATAGTGTTACAAACAAGATAGGTTCTGTAGATTTGCATACAAAGCTGAATTTGTATGCAAGTCAGAACACACACATTTTAAAAGGGTAACCCCAGCCATTTTTAAAGTTTTGGATAACATAGTGAAAGGTTACCATCCATGTAATCAGGGCCATAGCGAGAAAAAATTGGGAGGGGGGTAATCTTTTTTTTAATTGAATCATGATTCAGGTAGAACACAAAATAATTTAATTTAATAATAATAATTTAATAAGTAAAATAATTTAATAAGTAATTACTGAATAAATTGTCAAAATTTGTTTGAGATAGTGCTTGCAGTTCTGGAGAGACTCATTTAATTTTCGCTTCTCATAGACTTAGCAGCATCAAGATTTGGTTCACCAGTTAAAATTCATGAGTTAAACCAGGTTTTTTTTTAACCTGAAAAATTTCGGCCAGGGAAGGGGAGGAGATTTGAACCCCTAACCCTACCCCTTAGCTACAGCCCTGCCTGTAATGTTGGTTCTGCTGTCTGTGCCCCTGTTTGTAAGATTTCATCTCACTTTTCTGTCCATGTGACTATTAGATTTTGAAAATGTTCAGTTATTGTATAAACAAGGATTGGTGATAAAGCTTCACCGGAAACTACTTTTTTCCCACGCTAACAGGAGTGGTTTCCCTTTCCTAGGGGTAGGTTTCCTCTCACTTCCTGTTATTTAACCCCTTTGTAACTAGGAGTCAGATGTAAGTCAGATGCTTCTAACTCGGTAACAGCCTGTATGTTGTTTTGAATGTTCAAGCTCAGAGATTAGTGGCTAATTCAAACTAAAGTTAATGACGACAAGCCAGGGTGAAACGTATTCCCATAATTATATTTCACCAAATCATAGTTCTCCAGGCCTGAGTGTTACGGGAAACTTTGTCTACTGTCTGTAATGCGTATGTCTAGAAATATTTGCCAAGATGTGGATTTCTTGAATGAATGCCTGGGCAGGAAAATGGTGGTACTTTCCTCTTAGTAGAATGACCCTATAATTTTAAATGCTTAGTTGTTTTTTTAATTGCTTATAATGTATTATATTTCGATTGCTGTTGATTTTGTATTGTATTTTAACATGTTGGAAGCCGCTTGGGGTCCCTTTATGGGAGAAAAGCAGTGTATAAATAAAAACAGCTTCAAACTACAAGAGAGGAGATTCCATCTGAACATTAGGAAGAACTTCCTGACTGTGAGAGCCGTTCAGCAGTGGAACTCTCTGCCCCGGAGTGTGGTGGAGGCTCCTTCTTTGGAAGCTTTTAAGCAGAGGCTGGATGGCCATTTGTCAGGGGTGATTTGAATGCAATATTCCTGCTTCTTGGCAGGGGGTTGGACTGGATGGCCCAAGAGGTCTCTTCCAACTCTTTGATTCTATGATCATCATCATCATCACCAGGCATGGGCAAACTTTGGGCCTCCCTCCAGGTGTTTTGGACTTCAACTCCCACAATTTGAACCTCAGGCCCTTTCCTTTTCCCCCTCAGCCACTTAAGCTTGAGGCTGTTAGGAATCATGGGAGTTGAAGTCTAAAACACGTGGAGGGAGGCTCAACGTTTGCCCATGCCATGGATCTTATCAAAATCCAAAAACGAGCCCTGGGTTTATACATGAAGTTGACTTACATATGAGTCCACAATTAAAAACACAATAACATATTCTAAGCTAATAAAACAATTAAAAACAGCAGGGTATAAAAGCATGATTTGGAAAATAATATAGTGAAATTGATGGATTTGGAATTATGTGCAATGACTACTGGAATGGCCTGGATTATGATTGCGGATAGTGTGGTTTATGATAGTAATTGTAATGTTTTTAAATGTTTTAATGTATTTTAACTTTGATTTTAATTTTTAATTTAAATGTTTATTTTAATTGTATATTGTTTTTAAGGCATTGAATTGTTGCCTATATTGTAAGCTGCCATGAGTCCCCTTCGGGGTTGAGAGAGGCAGGATATAAATATAGTAAATAAATAAATAAAAATATGGTAAATTGAATGAGATTTTTTTAAAAAAAAAACGAGCATGTGTTCTGTCTCGGTGATAGCTTGGGCAGATTTGTTTCTTTGTGTTCACGGCTGTTAAAACCTCTTTTATCCAATTCATGACAAGACATGTTATTTTCCATTTTTAAAAAAACCTTACCCCAGGAGGTCTCACCAATGGAAGTGGGCGCTATATCTCTGCTGCTCCTGGAGCGGAAGCCAAGTACCGGAGCGCAAGCAGTGCCTCCAGTCTCTTTAGCCCCAGCAGTACGTTGTTTCCTTCCTCGCGCTTACGTTATGGCATGTCTGATGTCATGCCCTCTGGTCGCAGCAGGCTGCTTGAGGACTTTCGGAATAACCGGTATCCAAACTTACAGCTCAGAGAAATTGCTGGGCATATCATGGAGTTTTCCCAGGACCAACATGGATCTAGGTAAGATGATAAAACTAAGATAAAGCTACAGAATTGATCTTCGATATGTCTCTTAAAAATCAATATAAGTTCCTAAGAATTGTAAAGTGCAATAGTATAAATTTCTTAATTAACCAATATGTCACTGTGAATGTAATTTCGAAACCGACTTTCATATTTGAATTCTTAGAAGACTTTGTAATATGCATGACAGAAACAGTGACTAATATGTTCTGACACAAGAGGCCTACATAAAGAGTATAATGAGTTCTATGGGTGTATCTGCATGGCAGAAGTTGCAGTTTGACATAACTTTAAAGGCCATGGCATACTGAGATCTGTGGCATGGTGAGGCACCAGCACTCTTTGGCTAAAGATCTTGTACAATTATAACTGCCCTGATTCCATAGCCTGGAACAACACTGTCTAGTTCTGGGAATCACAATTCAAAAAGAGTGTTGACAAGCTGGAATGTATCCAGAGAAGGGTGAACATCATTATCAAAGGCCCGGAAGCCAAGTCATGTGAGGAATGGGAGTTAGTATGTTTTACTTGAAGAAGAGACGGTTGAGAGGAGACAAGATAGTCACATTTAGCTATTTTGAAAGGATGCCACTTTGAGAAGAGGGCAAGCTTGTTGTCCGTTGCCCTAGAGTAGGGGTCCTCAAACTAAGGCCTGCAAGGTCATTTACCCGGCCCTTGCTCAGGATCAACCTAAGTCTGAAACGACTTGAAAGCACACAAAAACAACAACAATCCTATCTCATCAGCCCAAAGCAGGCCCATACTTCCCATTGAAATACTAAGTTTATATTTGTTTAAACTGTTCTTCATTTTAATTATTGTGTTGTTTTTAAATGTTTTTTGCACTACAGATAAGATATGTGCAGTGTGCGTAGGAATTCAATCACGTTTTTTTTTTTCAAATTATAATCCGGCCCTCCAACAGTTTGAGGGACTGTGACCTGGCCCTCTGTTTAAAAAGTTTGAGGACCCCTGCCCTAAAGCAATGTTCCCAACCTTTGGTCTTCCAGGTGTTTTTGGACGTCAGCTCCCACATAATTCCTAACAGCTGGTAAGCTGGCTGGGATTTCTGGGAGTTGAAGTTTAAAACTCGTGGAGGGCCAAAGGTTGGGAATCCCTGTTCTAGAGAAGAGGACAGGGAGCAATGCATTCAAATTGCAGGAAAAAAGATTCCACCTAATAATTATGTAGAATTGCCTGAGAGCTGTTTGACAATGGAATGTGCTTCCTCAAAATGTGCAGGAGTACTCTTCTCTGGAAGTTTTTAAACAGAGGCTGAATGGTCATCTGTTGGGAGTCCTTTGATTGTGTTTTCCTGCGTGGCATCATGGAGCTGGACTGGATGGCCCTTGCAGTCTCTTCTAACTGTAATTCTTATTACCACTAGAGATTTTTAGTTTTAGATCTGTTGTTGGGTTTCTTGAAGTCATTTCTGATTTAAGGTGACCCTCTCATTGTATTTTCTTGGCAAGATTTGTTCAGCTAGGTTTTCCTTTGCCTTCCTCTGAGGCTGAGAGTGCAGCTTGCCCAAGACCATCTTGTGTATTTCCATGGGCAAGTGAGGATTCAGTGCCTGTATTCTTGCCAGAGAAGCACCGAGTCTCATGTGGTGCTGTCTTCCTTATCAGAAGATTAACAAGTAGTACCATTTGGCAGTAACTCTGTTTATACTCAGGGACAGAAAAACCTTCCTTGTGGTTGTCATAGGTCACATAAGATTTATTTGCCTTAACCTTCTGCCAAAACAGCCTTGCAAAAGGATGCCCTCGAGATGTGCTGTACAGCTGTAGTGGGCATGCTGACTGGGGTTCATGGCTTATGGATCCAACACTGAGAAGTATCTGGTTGGGAAGCAAGAATATACCTAAAACTTTTTAAAAGATGTATGGTAGATACACAGGGGGATTGTAGAGGCAGTTGACTTCATTTGTTCAGCTCTTCCATTCGGAGGAAACAAAACCCAATCTTTTACAATGGAAATACTTGCAGGTTTATCCAACTTAAACTGGAACGCGCCACCCCAGCTGAACGGCAGCTTGTCTTTAATGAAATCCTGCAGGCAGCTTATCAGCTGATGGTTGATGTATTCGGAAACTATGTCATCCAGAAGTTTTTTGAGGTAAGTTTTATTTGCGTTGTTCACTGTTTCTAAATCTCATTTTTGTTTCTTGATTTTTAAGAAGACTTGCATTTTAAATTGGTAGTATAATATCTTCTTTGTGGGATTATAAAGAATGTCTTTTTTTTGCTTTCTAGTTTGGTAGCCTGGAACAAAAACTGGCCTTGGCAGAACGTATTCGTGGCCATGTCCTATCCTTGGCTTTGCAAATGTATGGCTGTAGAGTTATACAGAAGGCCCTTGAGTTTATCCCTCCAGACCAGCAGGTAATTGTAAGTTTCCACTTTAATTTACTTCTTGATGTCAGATGCTCTTGTCTGTGTTGCTTCAAATTAAATTACATTGTGTTTTGTCTTTGTGAATTTCCTTTAGTCTGTATGGTCTGTGTGTTCTGTTGTGAACGTGCAAATAGTGATACACCTTAGGGCGAAACTGAACCAGGGATACTTGTCTAAGAGAGTGAGTTTCCTGATTTGTAATTTCAACAGCCAGGACACAAAAGCATCTCTTGCGTTGTCTAGCCAAAGGGATATTCTAATAATTCGCTAAGAAGTTTCTGTTCTCTTGTGTTTGGGAGATATAAAGGAAATAAAACAAAGCTTCTCCTTACTATCTTTGAGAATGGTTGATTCATAAAGTTGGAAGTATCCCTTGAGTTTTCAGGGGACCAGGTTAGTAGTAGAACCACATAGTTTTCATACAGAAGGTTCACTCCAATTGGTGGCATCTTTAGTTTAAAGCATGAGGGAGCAAGTGATGGAACAGTCATCTGCTTGAGACTTCAGAGTATCATTGCTATACAAATGGACAGTACTGGCCCAGATTAACAAAAATTGTGAACTGGTATCAAGCAGCTATCTGAGTTCTTGAAGCCCTATGATGCTTGCCAGCTGTGATTCTGGTGGTGCTTTCTCTCTCCTTCCCCCACCCCCATAGAATGAGATGGTCCGAGAACTGGATGGCCATGTGCTGAAGTGTGTAAAAGACCAGAATGGGAACCATGTTGTGCAGAAGTGCATTGAATGTGTGCAGCCCCAATCATTGCAGTTTATCATCGATGCATTTAAAGGGCAGGTAAGTGTGCTTGTTTATGCCAGGCAAGAAGGGGTATTGTCTAAAACAGGGTTCCTCAAACTAAGGCCCAGTGGCCGGATACGTTCATTTACCTGGCCCTCGCTCAGGGTCAATCTAAGTCTGAAAGCACACAACAGCAACAACAATCCTATCTCAGTAGCCAAAAGCAGGCCCACACTTCCCATTAAAATGCTAATAAATTTATATTTGTTAAAATAGTTCTTCATTTTAATTATAGTATTGTTTTAAAGTGTTTTTTTGCACTACAAATAATATATGTGCAGTGAGCATAGGAATTCATTCATGGTTTTTTTTTTTCAAATTATAATCTGGCCCTCTAACAGTTTGAGGGACTGTGACCTGGCCCTCTGTTTAAAAAGTTTGAGAATCCCTGGTCTAAAACATTGTGAAGAGGCTAGTTTTCCAAGTTAGTCTTAGTTATTGCTTTTTGTGATTTAAATATTTCCCTTTCCCTTTGAAACCCACAATAATTGACATTGCAGTGTCCCCTTTGCCAACTATTGTAATGTTTTGGCTAAATTATTCAGAAATATATGGCAGTACGATAACTGTCTTTGGTGCATGTTATAAGACTCCTTTTGAGCTTGCAGAAATTTTCCTCCAAATTTTATTCAAAATAAAAGGGGAGATTATGCAGAAATTCTGTTTATATACTTACTCTTGGCCTCCAACTAAAACTGCATTCCATTCCATTTCACATTATACGTGAGTAAATGCAGTAATGTAATCTACTATTTTTAAGAGCTTTTAAAGTGTCACAGTGTTTCAGTTGTCGGGTTTTTGTTTAAAAGAATGACTGTTTTGAATCAGGAATTTCCCCCACCCTCCCTTATGTCTCTCAAACTCAGGTGTTTGCCTTGTCGACTCATCCCTACGGCTGCCGTGTCATTCAGAGGATCCTGGAGCATTGTCTTCCTGAGCAAACTCTACCTATCCTGGAAGAGCTTCACCAACACACAGAACAGCTTGTGCAGGTAGCACTTTGGAGAAAGAGATGTTGAATAAAAATAATAAGGCTTCTCGCCTTCTTGCCCTGAGTACCTTCTCTCCCCGAAGGTACTCAGGGCAGCTTACAAAAAATAACAGAAATGGCAAACATTCAAAGCCCAGAAACAAATAGGCAACCAAGGCAAAAATATAAAATAGAATAAACTCAATATAACTTGTAAACAACCAAAATCAAGAGTTATACTAAATAAACATAATAGACATAAAGAGTCATATCAATCAATACATAATACATTGAAAGCACAGGGAGGAGGGAGCAAGCTTGTTTTCTGCTTCCCTGGGGACTAGGACACGGAACAGTGGCTTCAAACTACAAGAAAGGCGATTCCATCAGAACATTGGAAGAACTTCCTGACTGAGAGCCATTCAGCAGTGAAACACTCTGCCCCGGAGTGTGGTGGAGGCTCCTTCTTTGGAGGTTTTTAAACAGAGGCTAGATGGCCATCTGTCAGGGATGCTTTGAATGCAATATTCCTGCTTCTTGGCAGAGGGTTGGACTGGATGGCCCATGAGGTCTCTTCCAAATCTATGATTCTATGATATAATATAACACATCAGCAAGCGGAGGTAATTATCTATTGTCAGGGCGGGAGTGTATGTCATTGAGAATTGATTCCCTTGCCCTCCCTTTCCTCCCCCATTATTTTATTTTCTCCCATCTTAGTGATTGGAGCAACAGTGTATTTTTCCATCATTACATATTCTTGAAAGTTGGAAAAGCCATCCTAAAAGGTCTGGAACCAGCAACCCTTAACACATTTTTCAGAAAAGTAAACACTATCAGCATTACATTTTTGTATTGTTTTTGGTTAAGTTCATTACTTTCTCCTCTAGTCCCCAAAGGTGAAATCAGGGGACATAAACGTACTAAAAAGTAATTTCTATCTGACCAAAAATACTACATATACTTCTTTATATGCTTCTGCTGTCCTGGAGACTAGGACTAAGGGCAATGGGTTCAAATTACAAGAAAAGAGAACCCTGAAAGAACTTCCTCAGCATAAGAAGAGCTGTTCACAGAAGAACTTTCTGCCTCGGTGTGTGGTACAGACTCCTTCTTTGGGGGCTTTTAAACATAGGCTGGGTGGCCATCTGTCGGGGGTGCTTTGATTGTGCTTTTCCTGCATGTCAGGGAGTTGGACTGGATGTCCCATGTGGTCCCTTGCAACTTTGAGATTCTATATTAGACTCATGTATAAAATCAAGGGAAGATTTGGAGGCCAAAATTATGGACTTTGATATGACTGGTGGATAAGTCAATAATTTTTGTGGAGAAGGAAATGCAGCAATGCTGTTTTAGGGGTGCATCCCATTCCTGGCCCTTGCCACCATTTGTGTAACATGCACAGATATCTATAACAACAAATACAAAAACTGTAGATTGCAAATCACAATTGCTGTGTTCCAAGAATTTCTACATTGAATGTAACATGAGAACATTCACACGATTAATTAAAGACTGTTTATAAATAGAAGATAATTTATCAATACTTTGTCAACACAGTGAAACTAGAGCTTCCAAAATAACAATTAAACAATGTCAGGCACAGTGACACAAAATAACACTTTCTATATTGTCGAAAGATCTTCTTCCATAAACAACATCAGAGACAGTGACACACGGTTTATCAATACTTTGTCAACACAGTGAAACTAGAGCTTCCAAAATAACAGTTAAACAATGTCAGGCACAGTGACACAAAATAACACTTTCTATGTTGTCGAAAGATCTTCTTCCATAAACAACATCAGTGACAGTGACACACAACAAGGTCTCCTGGGTTGTTTCCCTTGTTTCGCAATATCTTCATCAGGTGTTACGATGTTTTAATTCAATTATAATTGGTAGTTATCGGTTCTGTTTTGATTTCCTATCAGCATTTATAGTCTTTGGATTCAACTCCTGTAAACAGCCTGGGCTCTGAGTGAGGAGTTCTGAATTGAGCCAATGCACACAACAACAACAACAACAACAATAATCCTATCTCATCAGCCAAAAGCAGGCCCACACTTCCCATTGAAATACTAATAAGTTTATATTTGTTAAATTGTTCTTCATTTTAGTTATTGTATTGTTTTAAGTGGTTTTTGAACTACAAATAAGATATGTGCAGTGTGCATAGGAATTCACGTTTTTTTCGAATTATAATCCGGCCCTCCGACAGTTTCAGGGACTGTGACCTGGCCCTCTGTTTAAAAAGTTTGAGGACCCGTTCTCTAGCCTATGGCCACCCGGCTCAGAGAAGTGGGTGGATCCTATGTTTTGATACTATACCCACAATGACCTGTAGTAGAGCCATCAATCCAGTTTTTGGATTGCTTTTTCCACTAAAAAATCTAGACTTAAACATGCATACAATATGGAATTGGGAAGAAAGCAAACAAAATGAGACAGCAAGCTACTATATATCATCTTAGATGCTCTTCCATTTTGAGCAGATAGTTCAAGTTTCCACTTAGTTATAAGGCTTACTCATTGGCTTTCTTTTAGTTGTTCAAAGTGCTATAAGAATCAAATGCAATGAGCATACATGTTAATCAGCCAGGTTGCAATATGTAAGGAATAGTAACATGGAGCATGATGTAATAAAATAGAAGAAAAACAGGGACCAAGGGACAATCTTCTATCAGATGGGCTCCAGTTGAAGATGTTAACTTTACAGACTTTCTCTATTGATACTTTCCCCCTGCCTGTCATTCTCTTTTTGTGAGTGTTAGTTACATTTGCTGTTCATGTAATTCTATTTAAAAAATTTTTGTAGAAAATCGGGGTACAAAAGCTGTAATTCAATAAAAATGAATTGTTTTGGGGTTTATGTAATTCTGTTATGTGCCCAACAGGATCAGTACGGGAACTATGTTATCCAACATGTACTTGAGCATGGGCGGCCTGAAGACAAAAGCAAGATTGTGGCAGAAATTAGAGGCAATGTGCTTGTACTAAGTCAGCATAAATTTGCCAGGTGCTGTGTTTTCCTTGTTATTGATTTTCCCAATCAGATTTGAGGAGGATAGAGTGAATATTTCGTTTAAAAGTACCAGGGGTGTTTTTTTTTTAATGATTATGATTCAAACTGCAATGGGGGAATTTAACACAGTGTTTAAAGTTAGCTTGTTTAACGTTATGTAAATAGCTGCTAAATAGCCACTGTTAGTATTCTGGAACATTTTGTTTGTATCTCACCACATTTCTTTGTATGGTCTTACTTGGCAATTCATACTAGCTTGAGTCAGTTATGATACTGATCGTTTGGAGCTGAAATTCTGGAAATGAATTTCTGTTGAGCCCCAGACTCTTCTTCACTTGCATGCAATTATTCCTTACCAGCTTGTTTAGGTTTGAAACACATTGTGGTTCACGAGGATGAATTCATGGAAAGAGTCCATGCAGAGTAATCACATTCTGCTTTACATTGCCATAGACAAGATGCAATTAAGATCCCTTTTCACATTTCTGATTTCTGTCCTATCATTCATTGCAACCAAGATTTCTAGTTTTAAAATGAACCCTTGTTTATCAATCAAGCCTGCTAAAATAGGCACAGGCAAAGTTAGGACCTCCCTGCAGGTGTTTTGGACTTCAGCTCCCACAATTCCTAACAACCTCAGGCCCCTTCCTTTTATCCCTCAGCTGCTTAAGCTGAAAAGGAAATAAAAGAGGAAAGGGCCTGAGGCTGTTAGGAATTGTGGGAGTTGAACTCCAAAACACCTGGTGGGCCTAAGTTTGCCTATGCCTGCGCTAAACCAACTAGGATATTTGGTTTGTGTAAGAATTCAGTTTAAGTAATGACTCTTACGCTGTGTATAAACTGTGGATCCCAATCTCAAATGGGGTCTCCTTCTCAGGCTCAATGTTGAGGTTCCAAAAATATTTCTGAACATCACAGAATGGTTGTGGTAGTAGACATTTACATGAATCTGTTGTGCATTGTTCACAGCGAACAAAAGATGCTTCAGGTGTCCTCCATAAAAAGGGAAATCACCCCGTTTAGCAAGCCTTGCGAATGCCGTTTTATTATCAGAAAGTGTTTGGTTTTTATACCTGTTTGATATGCCTAGAAGATTTATTGGGCTAAAAGAAATCCCAAATGGAAAAATGTAAGAAGCCCTGGTATATCGGGAAGGCTATGAAACTAAGCCTTTCTTGTTTATTTATTTATTTATTTCTGTTACTTATACCCCGCCCTTCTCACCCCCGAGGGGGGACTCAGGGCGGCTTACAAAAAGAAGGCAGAATTCGATGCCCATATCCAAATACATACATATATAAACAATTAAAATAATTAAACAATTAACAGATTAAAAACATCAGTATATAACACAATAGCACAATAGTAACAGTCTCATGGTCAGTGTTTCGAGTTCCATAGGTCCATTACGTTTCGTCATTATTTGCCCATCATTGTGGTCTTTCTCTTTAGCTGCCAGAGTTTCCAAAAGCCTGGTCCCACATCCAAGTTTTCAGCTTTTTCCTGAATGAGAGAAGGGAAGTCACTGATCTGATCTCCCCAGGGAGTGAGTTCCACAGGTGGGGGGCCACTACCGAGAAGGCCCTGCTCCTCGTCCCCGCCAGCCTCACTTGTGATAAAGGCGGGGTCGAGAGCAGGGCCTCCCCAGACGATCTTAGGCTCCGAGGTGGGACGTAGAGGGAGATCCGTTCGGACAGATACACTGGGCCGGAACCGTATAGGGTTTTGTAGGTCAAAACCAGCACCTTGAATTGTGCTCGGAATTGGATCAGCAGCCAATGGAGCTGACATAACAGGGGGGTGGTATGCTCCCTGTATGCCGCTCCGGTGAGCAATCTGGCTGCCTCCCGCTGGACTAGTTGGAGTTTCCGAGCAGTCTTCAAAGGCAACCCCACGTAGAGTGCGTTGCAGTAATCCAGTCAGGATGAGACAAGAGCATGGACCACTGTGGCCAGATCCAACTTCCCAAGGTACGGGCGCAGCTGGCGCACAAGTTTTAGTTATGCAAAAGCTTTCCCGGCCACCGCTGAGACCTGGGGCTCCAGGCTCAGCGATGAGTCCAGGATCACTCCCAAGCTGCGAACCTGCGTCTTCAGGGGGAGTGTAACCCCGTCTAACACAGGCTGTAACCCTATACCCTGTTCGGCCTTACGATTGACCAGTAGGTTTCTTGTAGGTTTTTTACACAAACCAAATATCCTTGTTAACTTTGAAGAAGAAAAAGACACACATTCTCAAGGGGATCAAAGAGAAGAGCAGTGGCTATAAAGCAAGCCTGGACAAACTTCGGCCCTCCAGCTGTTAGGAATCGTGGGAGTTGAAGTCCAAAACACCTGGAGGGCCAAAGTTTGCCCAGGCCTGCTATATAGAGTATTATGCAAAGTATAGGCTAAATTACTCCTGTCCACCTTTTTCAGTTCTCACACATCAAGGGATATGTTCATGTCATTCAGGTGCTACCATGTATACAGTTTCTCCAATATGGAAATTTTTGGGAAATAAATGAAAGCATTTTATAGCATAGCTATTTTGTTACGGATCAGGATGCTACATTGGAATGTTTTCAATAACCTGCACCCCCCTTTTTCTGTTTTCTTCAGCAATGTTGTGGAGAAATGTGTTACACACGCTTCCCGCACTGAGCGTGCCATGCTAATTGATGAGGTCTGTACTATGAACGATGGCCCTCACAGTGCCTTATACACCATGATGAAAGACCAGTATGCCAACTATGTGGTACAGAAAATGATTGATGTCGCAGAGCCAGCGCAAAGAAAGATCGTCATGCATAAAGTAAGCAGGAAAAAGTTGGGGGGAGGGGGGCGGACACATATGGGCAGTTTGCCAGGGATCCTAGCCAAAGGCCGCTCACCTATTAGAATCATAGAATCTTAGAGTTGAAAGAGACCTCATGGGCCATCCAGTCCAACCCCCTGCCAAGGAGCAGGAAAATTACATTCAAAGTACCCCCGACAGATGGCCATCCAGCCTCTATTTAAAAGCCACCACACTCCTGGGCAGAGAGTTCCACTGCTGAATGGCTCACAGTCAGGAAGTTCTTCCTAATGTTCAGATGGAATCTCCTTTCTTGTAGTTTGAAGCCATTGTGCCGCATCCTATTCTCCATGGCAGCAGAAAACAAGCTTGCTCCCTCCTCCCTATGACTTCCTCTCACATACTTATACATGTTTATCATGTCTCATCTCAGTCTTCTCTTCTGCAGGCTAAACTTGCCCAGCTCCTCATAGGGCTTGTTCTCCAGACCCTTGATCATTTTGGTTGCCCTCCTCTGGACACATTCCAGCCTGTCAACATCTCCCTTTAGTTGTGGTGCCCAGAATTGGACACAGTATTCCAGATGTGATCTGACCAAGGCAAAATAGAAGGGTAGCATGACTTCCTTGGATCTAGACACTAGACTCGTATTGATGCAGGCCAAAATCCCATTGGCTTTTTTTGCCACTGCATCACATTGTTGGCTCATGTTTAACTTGTTGTCCACAAAGAAAAGGATGGGGCCTGAGGCTGTGAGGAATGGTGGGAGTCCAAAACACTTGGAGGGAGGGAGGGAAAGACGGTGGGTCTAGGTTGGGGGGCCTGAGGCTGTGAGGAATGGTGGGAGTCCCTGGATCTAGACCAGGGGTCCTCAAACTTTTTAAACAGGGGGCCAGTTCACTGTCCCTCAGACCATTGGGGGGCCGGACTGAATCCCACCAACATAACAAATTTTAAGTTCTGCTGGAGTTTTTTTGGGATTAACCTGGCGTGATGTGTATTGTAGTTCACCCACAACCTTATGCATTTTGTACAATTAAAATTTTGACTTTTTCAAATAACCCGGGCAACGCTGGGTAGCCAAGCTTGTTTCAAAAATAAAAAATAAAAGTGGATACCAATAAAATTACATCAGTTGAGGTAATAATAGGTAGCAATCGGTTAAATGTTTTTTAATACTGGCATAGAACTGTAATTTATGATAAGAGTGTCCGACTCTGATTAAATCATTTTTGTGGAGGTTGAAAGAGTGTGGCTTGCAACTCTGGGGCAGAGGCCACCTCAAGCAAATGGACCCTACAAAAATGCAGAATGGAACTGAAAGGATGCCAATGAGAATTATTAATCATTGTTCATTATTGTTCATACTTTCTCCCAGTTTGGGACTCCAGGTTTACAGGAGATAAAATAGATATAGCTATTTTTTTTGTACATTATGTAAAAGGTTCTTCACTTGTCTACAGAAAGATAGCAAGGAAGACACCCAGCCCTATTAAAATAATAATTATAATGCTACAGATAATATATAATGACAATACTGCTTTATTATTGTATATTTCTATATTTTAAGTTGTATTATGTTTTTAATTGTGAGCCGCTTTGAGTCTCCACATGGAGAGAAAAGGTGGGATATAAAATAAATGAATAAATGACTCCTACATTTGAAGTCCAAAACACCAGGAGGGTGTAGAAGCAGCCCAAGACCTTGTCAAACTACAACTCCCAGGGATCCACAGCCTTGCACTATGGCAATTAAAGTGCTACTGAACTGCATTAATTTCCCAGTGCAGATGCACCCCCTAGTTTCATCTCCCATCCTTTCTCAAAGACATCTCCCATCATCTCCTAAGTGTTTGAGGGATGAAAGTTGTAATCCATCACCTCTGGAAAGCTCAAGGAATCACTCTGCACATGCTCAGAGGCATCCAGCAATTCAAAGAACCTTTGCCCACAAAACCTCTCCTCTTGCAAGATTCAGGCCCTAATTTCAGGTTCCTGCCTCTCATCTTTTCTCCTCTGCAGTAAATAAAGCTTTTGGTCACTCTTCCTGGCCCTTGCCATTACTTGAGAGGGTGGGGGTTGCCAGGGCGAAGATAGCTACTCCTTGGCTTCCCCCTCCCCCTGAGGAGCCATATGACACAAACTTAGAGTTAGGTGTGGGGCTGGGAGCCTGCAGAGCCAAAGCCAAGAATCCAGTGGATGCTGCGGAGATAGCGAGGAGAGTCCGTCTCCCTTCCTGCTGCTCCTCTGTCTCTCTCTGTCTCTTTGTTTCTTTTGCTGCTGCTCTACAGTAAATCTAAAGTATTGTTTACCTCTTTATGTTTGTTCTTTTCCTTAATGTGCCACCCATCCCTCTTTTCCTTCAGTTGCAAGTTTCCCCTGGAAAGAGGAGGAGGAGGAAGCCCAATAGGAGTAGAGACACTATACTCCTATTGATGCAGGCCAAAGTCCCATTGGCTTTTTTTGCCGCCGCATCACATTGTTGGCTCATGTTTAACTTGCTGTCCACAAGGACTCCAAGATCTTTTTCACACGTACAGCTCTTGAGCCATGCGTCCCCCATTCTGTATCTCTGCATTTCATTTTTTCTGCCTAAGTGGAGTATCTTGCATTTGTCACTGTTGAACTTCATTTTGTTAGTTTTGGCCCATCTGTCTAATCTGTTAAGATCGTTTTGAATTCTGCTCCTGTCTTCTGGAGTATTGACTATCTCTCCCAATTTGGTGTCATCTGCAAACTTGATGATCATGCCTTCTAACCCTTCATCTAAGTCATTAATAAAGATGTTGAACAGGACCAGGCCCAGGACAGAACCTGAGACACTCCACTCATCACTTTTTTCCAGGATGAAGAGGAAGCTGGGTCTGTTCATTTAGCCCTCTGGGTCTGTTCATTTAACCAATTACAGATCCACCTAACTGTAGTTTTGCCTAGCCACATTTGACTAGTTTGTTTGCCAGAAGGTCATGTGGGACCTTGTTGAAGGCCTTACTGAAGTCCAGATACGCTACATCCACGGCATTCCCCGCATCTACCCAGTTTGTAACTCTATCGAAAAAAAGAGATCAGATTAGTTCTGGCATGACTTGTTTTTGATAAATCCATGTTGACTATTAGTGATGACTACATTTGTTTCCAAGTGTTTGCAGACCACTTCCTTAACTATCTTTTCCAGAATCTTGCCTGGTATCGACGTGAGGCTGACCGGGCAGTAATTGTTTGGGTTGTCCTTTTTTCCCTTCTTGAAAATTAGGACCACGTTTGCTCTCCTCCAATCTGCTGGGACTTCTCCTGTTCTCCAAGAACCAGAGGTTCCAAAATGACGTCCACTGGTTCCTTCATTACTCTTGGGTGTAGTTGATCTGGCCCTGGGGACTTGAATTTTTTTAGAGTAGCCAGATATTCCTGGACAATTTGTTTTCCAATTTGGGGTTGGATGTTCTGTAATCCCTCATCCAATCTGTCTTGCTGAGGTTGAGGATGACTTTCTTTTTGTGAGAAGACTGAGGCAAATAAGGCATTAAATAGTTCTGCCTTTTCCCTATCCCCTGTCAGCATTATCCCATCTTCTCGCAGAGGCCCTATCTCCTTGTTTTGCCTTTTTCTACTGACGCAGGTAAAGAAGCCATTTTTATTGTTTTTAATGTCCCTGGCAAGCCTGAGTTCAATTTGTGCCTTAGCCTTGCAAGCCTTTTCCCTACAGGAGTTGGCTATTTGTTTGAATTCTTCTTTGGTGATTTCTCCTCTTTTCCACTTCTTGTGCATGTCTCTTATGAGTCTTAGCCCAGTTAGAAGTTCTTTGGGCTTATTTACATTTGTCATGCTTTTTCTCTTTGTTGGCACTGTTTGCAATTGCGCCTTGAGTATTTCACTGTCAAAAACTCCCATCCATCCGTAACTACTTTGTCTTTTAGTATCTGTGTCCACAGAATGCCGCTCAGTATTTCCTTCATTTTTTGGAAGTCAGCTCTCCTAAAGTCCAGAATGCGGGTTTGACTTGTCTTAGTTTCAACCTTCCTTCATATCGCAAACTGCAGGAGCACATGGTCACTTGCCCCTAAGGATCCAATCACTTTGACTGCATTGATCAGGTCCTCCGCATTCGTTAGGATGAAATCGAGAGTAACCAATCCCCTTGTTGCCTCCTCTACCTTCTGGAACATAAAATTTTCTGCAAGGCAATTTGTTGGACTTTGTTGGATTTTGTACTCTTGGCCGAGTTTGTTTTCCAGCAAATATTGGGATAGTTGAAATTGCCCAAGACTACTATATCTCTTCTTCGTTACTGTTTGGTCAACTGTTGACAGAAAGCTTTAAATAAGTAAATAAATAAACAGAAAGCTTTGTCGAGTTTTTCATCCTGGCTCGGAGGTCTGTAGTAGACACCCACAGCGAAATCTTTTTGAGTCCCTGTTCCCTTGATTCTTAATCCAGATGCTTTCAAGCTGGCTTCCTGGACTGCAGTCTTGCATCACTTTTATGACATAACTGTTTTTCACATATAAGGCTACTCCGCCTCCTCTCCCCTTTGTTCTGTTTCTGTGAAAGAGATTATAACCCTCCATGTCTACCTTCCAGCAATAGGAGTCATCCCACCAGGTTTCAGTGATGCCTATAAGTGTGGTGTTGTGTTAAAAGTTGGAGTTTGTCTTGTTTATTTCCCATGCTCTGTGCATTAGTGTAACCCCTGAGATCTTCCCCTGACCTGTTTATTTGGGATTATTGTGCTTTTGTTACTTAGTCCTTGTTGTGTTTGTGCAACTCTTGGTTTAGCCTTTTGGCAGTTCCCTGGCATCGTAGGTAAAGTACTATTTGCAGGGCTCTTGTCCCCCTAGCTTAAGGTGCGCCTAATGAGGTTTGCGAGTCTGTGAGCAAAAAGGTGTTTTCCTACTTGTGTGAGATGCACCCCATCCCTTTTATCAGTAGGTGATCCTCCTGGAAAAGCAGGCCACGGTCAAGGAAGCCAAAGCATTCCTCCTGACACCATTTTCTAAGCCAGTTATTGACCTATACTATTTTTCTGGCCCTTGTAGGGCTGTGTCTTACAACTGGGAGGAAGGATGAAAAGACAATATGTACATTACACTGTTTCAGCTTTGTTTCAAGAGCTCAAAATCATTTATGATCTTTTGAAAAGTATGCCTAACTATCATTGGTTCCTACATTGGGGGGGGGGGGGTTGTGATGGGGCTTAAGGAGCCTGGTGAGCCTCTGAGTTATAAAGTGCTTTTGGCCCCAGGAGGCAGAATATTTCTCAAGCCATCCCATCAGGTCTGGAAATGATGGCTTCCGTTCCTCTACAGAGGGAGTCGCCTACTACCAAGACCTGTTTCCTTTGAACAGACAGTCCCCAAGTTACAAACATCCGACTTACATCTGACTTATAGTTAAGGATGGGGGTGAAACAATAGGAAGTGAGTGGGATCTACCCCCAGGAAGGGAAATGCAGCCTGAACGAGTTATTATCATGGGAAAGGGGCTCTCCCATTAAGCTTCATGCCTAATCCTTGTTTCCAGAACAAACCCAATTTTCTCAAAATCCAATTATCACAGGGACAGAAAGTGAGGTGAAATCTTCTGAACAGGGGCATAGGCAGCAAAACGAACAGGACTGGTAACCCTTCCCTATGCTATCCAAAGTGTGTGCGTCACTGGAGTTACACTGAAAAAATGTACCTGTTCTGACTTGCATACAGTTTCAACTTAAGAGCAAATCTACAGAACTGAACTTCTTCGTAACTCTTCCTGTGTACTGCGTGATTCCACTCTCTGGCAACATGGATGGAAAGACTTCCAAAGGATTGCCTTTTCAACCTGACCAGAGGAGTGTCCCATGTCACTCAGAACTTAGGACCATTGTGTGCTGCGTCTATGTGCCTCCTGTTCCTAAACTTTTGCTCTTTCTCATCTTGTAGATCCGGCCACATATTGCCACTCTCCGCAAATACACTTATGGAAAACACATCTTAGCCAAGCTAGAGAAGTATTACATGAAAAACGGGGTTGATCTTGGGCCCATCTGTGGACCACCAAATGGTATCATTTGAAGCCATGAGCGACATACAGAAAGGAATAGCCCGTGACCACCTGGAATTTACAACCAGCAACCAGTCATCTTCTGCTATACATTTTGAAAACATTTATGGTTGCGCAATGTCGTAGACCTGGAACTCCAAAAAGAGAAAGGAAGTCAAAAAGACCATTTGTAAAGTTCTTTAATTTTATTCAGCATAACATGTACTAATTATTTTTAAATCCTTTATGACCCTGCTGTTTCGGTGGTGTATAGAATTCTTGTACATAGGCAAGAGATGTACATGGAAAGCCACATTTTGTCCACTGGTGTAACTATTTCAAATACAGGAACTTTCAAGGTGGCTTATTGGAGAGTTTTAAAAACAAACCCATCTTAATTCCTCTCCCTTCAAAGAGGAGGAGAGCTTTTTGGAACACTCGTTGGGTTCTCTTTTAGCCAGAACTCTAAAGAGACGCTTAAAATTTTAGTTAAATTGCACAAATCTGCATTGAACACTGTTTATAAACTTTTAAAAAATCAATTTGCTAAATCTTCAATTAAAAACCAGTTTTTAAGTTTCAGAAACTTTTACAATTCCTTTTTCCTTGTATACTGTGTGAAAGAATTGAGTGTGGCAGTCCTCGAGAGAGAGAGAGAGAGAGAAAGAGAGAGACCCTGCTGCTGCACACCCACCAGGAAGTTTTAGAGCAGTTGGGAGGCAGGCAGGCGGGGAGGTGTCTGTGCGGTTCCTGCCTGCTCCAGTTCTGTCCACAAGGACAAGGCCTTTTTAATTCTTATTATTATTTAGCATGTAGAGAGAGAGAAATCCAATTTAACTTTGGTCTTGCTTCTATAAATATATAGTGTATACTTGGTGTAGACTTTGCATATATAAAAATTTGTAGTATTATTCTCTTGTTTTGATGTTTAATCTGTATCTATAATGTACCCTAGTAGTGGAACATACTTTTGATTGTACAATTGTACATTTGTAAACCTCTGTAATGTAAATGTGGAAAAGTTTGAATCAGCATAAACCCATTTTGGTAAGGAAATAAATTAGCCAACCCTGTGCATTTCAGTGTATATTCACCCCTTTTATGGTCGTAGTGTTGTATATTGTAAATTGTAATTTCAACCAGAAGTAATTTTTTTCCTTTGGAAAGAACTGTTCTCTTTATACAGCCTGATTGATGTTTCAAAGAATGCTTGTTTTTTAATTTGTCACCTCATCGAGAGTAGCCATCCTTTCTAAGTGTTCTACACCAATTATTCAGTTTCGAGAGTAGTGTTTTATTTGACTCTTTAAAAAAAGTAATGTTTTACTTACTTTGTGGCCGTTAAAAAAAAAAGTCCAGCTCCTCCTCTCCCCCCCCCCCTTTCCTGGTTAGTACGATTCCTTTGCGATCTGAGTCCCCCTTACACCTTGTAAAGTGTGAATCACTTTGCCTTTTTGTACAGAAGAAAAACTGTATTTTGCATTTTGTCTACTTGTAAGTGAATGTAACATACTGTCAATTTTCCTTGTTTGAATATAGAATTGTAACACGACACGGTGTACATTTACAGAGCCTTGTGTATATTTCCAATGAACCTTTTTGCAAGCACACTTGTAACCATATGTGTATAATTAACAAACCTGTGTATGCTTATGCCTGGGCAACTATTTTTTGTAACTCTTGTGTAGATTGTCTCTAAACAATGTGTGATCTTTATTTTGAAAATACAGAACTTTGGAATCTGGGGTTGTGTTTTCATTGGAATCTTCTCAATATAGTGCACCAGGACAAAATCTTCCTACGGGTTGTCTGTCTTCTTTCTCACTTCACAGTTCTCTAATTCCATTATTGACATCTCACCTTTCTCCCAGAACTGGGTCTCAGTGTATATACGTCTATGATACCAAAATAAAGCAACCACATATTTGAAGCCGATTTCTTAGGATCCAGTTAGTAATCCAAATTCTATCTGAATATGGAACTCTTTGCTTCTTGGTAAGAAGAGCCTCCTTTGGAAGACAGGCAGACCTGTCCGACATCAACAAGCTGGAAGATGTTCAGAGAAGGGCAACCAAGCTGACTAGAGACCCCACTACCAAGTCTTATGAGGAATGACTTGGAGTCAAGAAAACAGAGAGGTGACATGACTGCCATATTCAAATATCTGAAGAGATTCCATGAGGGAGGTAGATCAGGTATAGGCCAACTTGGACCCTCCCTCCAGGTTTTTTGGACTGCAACTCCCACAAATTAATTGTGGAAGTCCAAAACACTTGGAGGGAGGGCCCAAGTTGGCCCATGCCTGAGATAGATTTAGGTTGTTTTCTGCTGTTCCAAGAGAACACAAACTTAGATGCAAATAAAAAAAAAAAAAGGATTCCACCTAAGCATTAGGAAGAACATCTTTACTGAAAGGATTGCTTTAGAGTGGAATGGGTTTGCATTGGAGCATGGGATATACTCTTCAGAGGATTAAACAGGTCGGACAGGCGTCTTTCATCAATGCTGTAGGTGTGTATTCCTGCCTTGCAGAGCATTGGATTAGGTTGCTCTTGTGATCCCTAATTACTCTTAAAATTCTACGATCCTCACTCAATGCCTCTCTGCCTTTGCAAATGGAGGAACAGCTGTGATCTGCAGATTGTAAAATCTGGGTATGGTTGTTAATAGAATAGAATCTGCAAGCAATGCTGTTTGAGATCTGGAACATGGAAAGATACATGCCTTTCTATACTGACAAAGTAATAGAAGTAGTTCTTTGACCTACAGTAAGAGATGGGAAGCGCATGCCTGTTAATTTCTTCCTCCCACCCTAGACATTATTCCACAGATATATAAATCCCACTTCGCCTAGTTTCCAACAGACCTCACAACCTCTGAGAAAGCCTGCCATAGATGTGGGCGAAACATTGGGAGAGAATGCTGGAACATGGCCAAGCAGCCTGGAAAACTCACAGCAACCCAGTACGCAGAACTTTCTGTCCATGAAAGGCCATCCTGGATCAATCAATTTCTCCGCAATAGAGTCCTTCTGTCAATGGAAAGCAGATACTGGATCTTACAGAAGACAGGATTATCGAAGCATCCCACAGCAATCAAAACATCAGTGAGTCTTCAGTCGCAAGCGAATGAATACAAAGAGAACCTGCCCCAAAACATTACAGCATCCATTGTTCTTGTTCACATTCTTGCCTTTCATTCTTCCTACCCAACCCCCTATTTTGAATTCCCAGCAGTTGGCCTCCAATGGCCACTAAGCAGATGCAGTCTCTACTGGATGCTTTGCATTTTCAGTCTGCCCCCACAGATATTTTGCCACGAAATATATTTTCTTTCAAAACAGTATATTCCTGCACCTTGCTATTAGTGGGTTCTCTGCAACTGAAACTGTTTTGGTTATATAAGCAAAGTGGGTTATTCTAAGCATAGGATACATGGAGTGACTGGTAGGCCTATCCATGCATTACTAATAAAAAAACAATAAAACATTTCCATTAAATTTATCTTATGCTGCTTTATAGGGACAGGAGAAAATTTGGAAATAATGACTGCAATTAAATATAAATGTAATTTTACCCTGGTGCGAAAAACTGAGGAAAGGTGACCTCCATGTCTGCTGTTCACTCTGCTAGGAGCTGAAAGCTTGTGGCATTGCATCATAAGAAAAACTGCCCAGCAGCCACCTCCCATGCTCTGTGACAACACACAGCTCCATGCAACAAGGAGCTGTGTCACCAAAAACTATCTGGTGGCCAATCATCTTGTATAAAAGACCACAAGAAATCTCAGCAGAGACTCATTTGCCATTCTACCACACAGCTGTCAGAATTATGCCAAAAACAGATACATCTTCATGAGGTTGGCTGGGTGAAATTGTTGCTGGGGTCCTCCTTCCCAAGCCAGGCACCACCCATGGCCACTCATCATGACAGATATAAAAATGGCCTGGAGAAAGAGCCAGGACCCCTTCACGAGCCTGTCCAGAAACCACCAATGCTGGACTCCTCCTCTGTAGAAGGCCTCCCATCCCTCATTGTTTCTCCTCATTGCTATCATATGGGTATTGACAGGGAACCAGGCCTTATCCATGAGGCTGTCTGGAATAATCAATTGTTGGAGGAGCCTGAAGCAGAAACAATCTCCCCTGCGGTTATTCCACCATGCAGGCATCGAAAGTGGATGGAAAGATCACTAAGCCCTCTCCACGAGCCTTTGTGGGAACAACCTCCATTGGGCTCCTCCTTATTATTACAGACTCTGCCGGAGCCTATTGAATTTGGCAGAGGTCAGAAAGAGAAGAGAAAACACAGAGACCATCTCTGTGAATTTGCCTTGAAACAATCAACAGGCTCCTCCCAACCAGAGCGGACTCCCTCACCTGGTGACCCCGAGAGAAGGAAGGAAAAGCCATTAGGCCCTCTTCACGAGCCCATCTGGTATAAAGTGCCCTTTGTATCTTACTTTCTGCAACGGGTTGCATCACCGCTGGACATGACATCTGCCCATTCTCTGCAAGGAGCAGACAGAGAAGCACCTGGTTCCTCCCAAGCAGAACAGACTCCTTCAGTGACCGTGGCACCTCCTTGTAGCTGTCAAATGGGGAGAGAGAAATGGCTAGGGCCGCTGCATGAGCCGCTTTGGAATCAACCACCATTAGGCTCTTCCCTTCTTCTGCAATGCCTCCCGGAGCCCATTGAACTGGAGAGTTATAGCAATGGCTTGAAGAAAGAGCCCGGACTTCCCCATGCACATGGCTCCTCCCAGCCAGAACAAACAGGACCAGTGGCCACTCCACCCAGAAACCATCCCCTCGGCCCTCACTGTGAACCTGCCTGGAGCCACCTGCCGTTGGGTTCCCCTTGCCTAGGCCGAAAGTCCTCAATGGGGGTCTTACCTGGCCAAGGCCAGGAAGTAGGAGAGAGAGCCTTAGGCCCTCTCCATGAACCGCTTTGGGAATAACCTGCTTTGCACCTTTTCTTCTTAGAGTGGATTCAACCAGCAGCATTTCTAGAAGCGGCGGAAGGAAACTCAGTAGGCCTTCCCCATGAACTTGACTGGGAACAGTTACTTCCCCATGAACTTGACTGGGAACAGTTTTTAAGGGTGTCTACTCTTAAAACATAACTGGGCTTGGACCTGCGTGTTTTCTTCTTTGTACCACCCCCCTTGCTTTTTATTTTACATTTCCTAGGCTGTTCTCCATTGCAGCAGAAACCTGTCATTATTTACACATGGCAAGTTTGGGTAAGTATTTACAACAGGTGGTTGAGGTTTAAATGCAAGAAACTAAAGCAATGCTTTTCTGTGTGATGTTTAATGTTGGAAATCGTTCTATTTAACAATTGAACAATCACATTTGGATGTGTTTTTTAAAACTTTAAATATTGTGTTATTTAAATTACTTGTTATTAATTCATCATTTTGAGAGCCCTTGTGGGCTGAGGGGTGAACATGAACATTTTAATAACTTACTTCATTAGTGAAGTCACAAACATCCAGCAATGATGCCCAGTAGGCCAAAACATAACATTGCAGATGGCACCTCAAGACAGTCAAATCAAAGACAGTCTTCATTAGGGCAGTTATGGGGGTTGACCTTCTCTACCGTTCAGCTGATCTTCCTCTCTGTGCACTTCAATCACAGAGGTTACCCATACATTTTGTTTGCAGTATCAAATCAGCAAGAGCAACCAAAGTGTCACCATAGCCAATTCCTGGAGCTCAATTTTAGAGAACGTGCTGCTAGTACAAGTGGTCCCAGATGAAATGCCTGGTTCCTCCAGGGATGGCCAGGGAGGATTCTAGTTAGAAACTCTGGAGAGTAAATGTAAAACATGTTAACCAGATAAGTTTTTAGAAGTTGCAATGGATCATCCTCAAGAACTTTCTTTGGGTTGTACTGTGGTTAATGCTACAGTTCTTTAGGACATTCTTCCCTCCTAGAGCAGAAAACACTTTGCTTTGCTTTTTGGCAATTGCACCAATTCATGATGGGCCATTTTGCTGACAAAATAGTAGCAAATAGATATTAGGTGACACTGCAAAACAGCTGATCGAGGAAGATGAAGATGTCCCAGAGATGACATCTCCACACCCCTCGGCCATAGCTTGATACTAGCCTCGCCAGATGAACTAGTACCCACATGCCCAAGGTATCAAGTGTGTTTTTATATGCCTTCGATTTATGGCAACCCTATGGATTCCATAAGGTTTTCATATGCAAGGAATATGTCCCCACGAATAGTTACCACAGCCGTCAATGCACACAAACCAGTTCTACTATAATCCTACTACAAGCCCTTGAGGCAGGTTTTGAAACTGCCAAAAGACTGAATTGTGCCAGTTGATACGTGAGATTGATTTGGACTAGGTGTTTCCTTTGTCTATGGATAGTGCTGGGTCTGATCCATCCCTTCCCCACCATAACCAAGCATGGCCATTGCAAGCCATGTGCTTGTTCTTCCCAGCTGTGGCATCATAACAAAGGACTCCATGACAACACAACTCCCCATGTAAAAATGACCTGTGTTACTCAAATCTAGTCCAAATCTATCAATTGGCACAACATCCAGTCTGTTGGCAGTTTCAAAATTTGCACAGAGGGCCACAATACACCCCACCAGAGATACCGCTGGTGGCAACCTTGCAGCACAGTGATTGTGGAGGGAGGCAGAGGCCAATATTACTTCTTTGTGAGCCTGGGGTGTTTATTCCCTACCAAAATAGACACCCAATGTTCCTCTG